TTTTGTTGAGAATTCATAAATTACTCCTAGCACGAACGCGCAGAGACCAGCAACGAGAGGCATCGAACTTTTGGTGAGCTTGACAGCCGCAATAAGACCTTGCACGTTGCTGCCCTCGGCAAGGAAGTCGTTGACTGATTCTGGATCCTCAAACAGCCATATGGATAACAACATCAGGTAGCCGAGCAAAGCACGTTCATCCTCGACGTGTTGTACGCCCGCCACAACATTGCTTGCGATGCTTTGTAGGAAGGTGACGACCTCTTCGCCACTTTCGGCGTCACCCTCTGTCACTTGCAGGGCCATCTCCTTGGTCTCAGCATTGTCGTACAGGAGGTGTAGCAAAAGCACCGCGGCCATCCATTGTTGGTATGGGTCAGAGTTGTTACGTGACCCAGGAGGTTCGAGCAAGACGGTAAGCATGTTAGGAATGGCATCGTCGCCCGCTTTGTGTCCCTCAATAGCCCTCCGTAGCACGTGATTCCGGATGCCGACATGGCCATTCATGAAAGCTTCGAGGCAGGAACATGCGGCCAGTCGGACGTCGAATAGGGCCAGAGGAGCTGGCTCTAGTGTCACTTCTAGCAGTGACTCGATTACGTTCTGAGTTCGAAAAGCAGGTTTGTTCGGCTTGAGCGACTTCTCACTGGTGGCATTTGACGGGTGGCCGTTGGTAGGAGGACTATCGGGCTCTTTGACTTGGACTCCAAGATCTCCGAACCGTTCCTGGAGACTATGATTTGCTCGAATGATGTCGCCACATGTTTGCAGTGACTTTGTTCGCACACTGATGCTGAATGCAGGATGGAAGGCAATTCGCAAAACAACGTCTAAAACTCCGGTCGTCCAAAATACCTGTTGATTGACCACGGTCCCTTGGGCACCCTGAGCAAGAAATAACTGGATAACGCCCAATAAGCCCCAGACATTCATATCGCGCTGTGGTTTCAGCCATTCTGAGCTACCATCCCCCGAATCTTCTTGGTCCACGGCGGCCAGCAAGAGGTTCTTGATCTTTAGGATTCCCCCCACCTCTCTGAAGTACGATTGGTTCGATGTGTTGAGGTTCAGAAGATTGGCCAAAAGTGACAGGCAATCTTGCACGGTGGTAGAGCCATGTGTGAGACCACCGTCGCCGTCAATCAGAGCAAAAACACGGTCAAATGCGTTCTCAAATGCCACCACTTTCTGTATTTCACCAGATGTGGGAGTCAAGGCCACCAGCAGTACCAATGCCTCATTCCGAATCGCTTCCCGTCTGTCATCCAAAATATTTGTTATTCGAGAGACACCCAGAGGCGCAGAGAAAATAGCCTCTTGTGTGCGCTGTGGCCGCGCGGTGGATATATGGAATAGAATCTGGAGGACATATAAGCGTAAATAGAACTCATTAAGCTCGAGCAAGTCCAAGAGAGCTGTGATGTTGTCTTGTCTCTGCGTGAACTCGTCGGCCAGCCACAGAGTGATTTCCTCCGACGCCTCAGTTGATTTCTCATCCGGCTCAAACAGCATCAACAGTGTCTCTAGCAAGATCTTGATCGTGTCTGAATCTTCTCCATCTCGCCTCAATCCGGCAATAAGATCTCTCAATGCGCCGGAAGCGACCGAAGCAGGGTATAACTTTGCGAAGCTACGCAGACCGAGTATAGCAGCCCGCCGATCTTCTAGTAACGTGGCAGTTGAAAGGCGGCTGCTGAGTGTCTGGATGGTGTCGGTGGCAGTCTGTCGTGCAGGCGCCTGGGCTTCGAGGATTCGCATCATTTTGAGGGCAGGGTCATTGTCGTGGGTTGGAAAGTCTTATATTGACTCCGCGTCTGTCAGCCATGGATTAAGGAATCTCTGCGCACATTCTCGACAGAGTCAGAACAGGTACAGAGGGGCGAAGTGTGAAGGCTGGCAACGGTTGACTTAAACCAGTGTTCGCATGGACCGCGTTTGTGCTCTGGGAGTCTGAAGTGACAACTTGTCCGCAGGCCAAGAAAGACTCCGGGTGTAAAAGCAGCAGCACGATTAATCCACCGGTCAATCAGCCTCGTCCTACAGGGCAAGGCTGTCTTTCCACTCAAGCCACTCCACGTAGCCCGAGGCAATAAAGGGGGACTCCCCTCTCTAATGTTCCCACACATCTCCAACAATGACAATTCGGGGTTGATGAAAGCAATATGTAAGTTAGCAGGTGTATGGGGCAGTTGGCGCACTCTGCCTCGTATGAACGAGTTTCAGAGCTATTGCACGAAAGGCCGCCGCTCATCGATTCCACATTGCCCCCGTCTTGTTCTGTGTAATTGAGCGCGCTGCGGATCCCAATCAGGCCAGGCAATGCTCAGATCTCCTTATACCATCGATATTCCCCTTCTCGATGTCAACACCTTTGTCTTCCGATCTGGAACTGAAACTTCGCGGGGATCGCCTCAATACTTTGATGCTGATAGTCCTGCCAAATGTTTCAGTCTGGCACAGGGTGAAATCTATTCCAAGAGACTGGCCCTTGGGTTACAACAACTGGGCCTCCAAAGCGACGAACGCATACTCCTATACTCCAACAATCGACTTTTCTTTCCGATCGTGATATGGGGAACTATTGCTGCGGGATGCATTTTTACTGCCGCCTCACCTTCAGCATCCGCGTCTGGTGCGTTGTTTTCTGGTCGTCTTATAGAATGGGTTGTTCAACAGAGGATGCTGCGTCGACTGACTTCGCATCGAAGAACTGGCTTACCAGGTGCGGGATTCCGGTGCTTCGTTGCTGCTCACTGGACCCGATGGGATTGATATTGCCCTTAAAGCTGCTTCGGAAGTAGGGCTATCACGGAACAGGATTTTAGTTTTCCATGATCCAGATGAAGATCTCTCATCGTACCATCTCCATGGCTTGAAATCATGGACGAATATCTGGACGACTGAAGACGCCGTTCGACAGTGGTCCTGGAAGCGTCTAGCCACCGTCGAGGAACTCGATGGAAAGACCGCAATCGTCAACTATTCCAGTGGGTAAGTTTCGGCAAGATACCTCTCAAGTCTACTAGAGTGCTCCATCACTTGCTGACAGCTCTGGAGAACCACCGGGCTGCCAAAAGGGGTCCAAATTTCTCATTATAATCTCGTCGCCAACTCAGTACAGCTTCTTTTCAAACGGTCTATGGTGGGAAACACAGCCAAAGCACGTGCTCGTAAGGAACGACTCGACGTGTCGGGCGAACGATGGCTGGCGCCTCTGCCCATGTATCACGCCTATGTGAGTGATAGCTCTCTCGGGTGTGGGTGTTGGACAGCCAACCCCGTAAGACAAACTTACGTTGGTGATAGGGTCAAACATATTACGGTATCAATGCTGCAGCATGGGGGGCAAAGGTCTTCATAATGTCAAAATTCAACGTTACGAGGTATTTACAGTACCTTGACGTCTATCGCATCACGTTCATGACAGGGGTTCCGACCGTCATCGCTATGTTGTGCAAGCAAGATGCTCCCGAACGATACAACTTGAAGTCCCTTGAGCAGGTTGTGACCGGCTCAGCGCCTCTCGATCCGGGGCTGGGGCGACTTCTAGCAAGGATGTATCTTCGGCCAGGTGTGCAGGTCAAGCAAGGCTGGGGAATGACAGAGTGCACCTGTTCTGTGACCAGTTTCCCACCAGATGAGGAAGATGATGGGCGCTCAATTGGTTGGCTGAATCCTAACTGTGCAGCGAGGATTGTCCCTATTGACGAGGATATACCAAAGTCCACTTCCTCGGGGCAGGAAGCTGGGGAGTTATGGGTGTCAGGGCCTAACATCATGAAGGGATATTGGAACAAGCCTGAGGCGACCGCAGAAACGATTGTGTACGAGGACGGCCACCGATGGTTGAGGACGGGTGATATCGGATACTATGATGATCAAGGGAAGTTCTACATCGTTGATCGGCTGAAGGCAAGTATTTAACCTGGTAAATCGGGAAGTCGGGTATATCGGTCTCTGACTAATGGACTCATCAGGAACTTATCAAGATAAAAGGTCTTCAAGTTTCGCCCACCGAGCTGGAGCTGACACTTCTCAACCATCCAGAAGTGACAGACGCCGCCGTTGTGGGTGCCATGATGTAGGCTGTCACAGTATTCTCAGCTTCTGTTTGAAGATGGGCTAACTGATACGGTGGTAGAAACGGGGAGGAATATGTCAGGGCGTTTGTTGTCCGAAAGAATGATTCACTTACAGAGAAAGAAATCTTCGAGATTGTCCGGAAGAATTTTGCTCCTCACAAATGGCTTACTGGAGGAATTTACTTTGTTGATGAGATTCCAAGAACAGGAAGCGGGAAGATTATGAGACGAAAGCTACCTCAAGTGTTGTCGCCTCGGCCTTGGAAACTGTGACTGGGTCAAGAGTCCCGAAGGGGCTCATGTGAATCATCTTTGACGACCAGATGCTCGTGCTCACGAGTGAAGATGACACTGGCAGGCGGTAGCAGGCGGCTTTTGTCCTTTTCAGACCCACCTTGTGATGAAATCACACATGTTAGAAGACGGGGTAAATAGACAAATGGAGAACTGTGCAGTATCTATGTAGGTTGCACTCACTGTCATGACTGGTAGATGTGATAATATGTCATTTGTGGCCCACCGTAGATGTGTTGTCAAAGCTGCTCTACAACCCTATACTCCGCCGTTGTGAACAAATCTGCCAAGCCCACGCCAACCAGATTTGGACGCGGCGCAGGGTCCAGATGCAGACTTGTTCAGGCTTGAAGGCGCAGTTTCGTTTCCGGCATTCATTACCATCTCATCTCTCTGCAACAGACGCTTCGCAATCTCGAGTCCGGTATGTTTCCTTCATGGTGACTCGGATCGCACACAGTCCTTGAGATCTCTTCTGTGCGCAGAGCAATAGCATTCTTCCATTGTGTTGCTTGTGACAATTAGGAGTGTGATTCCTCACCAAATTTTCCACAGGCAACGACTCAACTTCCGAGTTGATCCCTTCCTTTCTCTTGAATTTTCCCGCAGTGTTGTCAAGTCACGATGGGTGTCCCGGCTCTCTTTCGATGGCTTACCAAAAAGTATCCCAAGATTATCTCTCCCGTGATCGAGGAACAACCTTACGAGATTGATGGCGTGCAATACCCCGTGGACACCACCAAGCCCAACCCGAATGGAGAAGAAATGCACAACCTCTATCTTGATTTCAACGGCATCGTCCACCCCTGTTCGCACCCTGAGAACAAACCTCCTCCAGCAAATGAGAGCGAGATGATGCTGGAAATTTTCAAGTACACAGATCGTGTCGTAAATATGGTGCGACCGCGGAGACTGTTGATGATCGCAATTGGTAAGCTTCTCCCTCCCTTGATGTGCCTCCCATCCCCTGTGGTCATGAAACACTGTGAATCTGACGTAGAACAGATGGGGTTGCTCCTCGAGCCAAGATGAACCAGCAACGAGCTCGTCGTTTCCGGTCGGCAAGAGATGCGAAAGAGGCGGACGAAAAGAAGGCAGAGTTTCAAACCCTCCTTCGCCAACAGCAGCGTGATGGAGATGATGACGAAGACGAAGAAACAGTGGACGACGTAATCAAGAAAACATGGGATAGTAATGTCATCACACCTGGCACGCCTTTCATGTTCATTCTTGCTCAATCTATTCGATATTGGGTCCAGTGGAAACTGAACACGGATCCTGCCTGGGCTCAACTGAAGGTCATTATCTCAGACGCCAGTGTGCCCGGAGAAGGTGAGCACAAGATTATGCAGTTCATTCGTTCCCAACGCTCGGATCCTGCCTATGACCCAAACACAAGACACGTCATGTATGGACTTGACGCAGACTTGATCATGCTTGGAATCGCCACCCATGAGCCTCACTTTCGCGTCCTTCGAGAAGACGTTGAACTCAGAGATGCCAAAGCCAAGACCTGCAGGATCTGCGGTCAACAAGGTCATTATGCCGAGAACTGCAGAGGCGAAGCCAAGATAAAATCAGGCCAGTTCGATGAAAAGGGCACTACAGAAGAGCTGAAGCCATTTGTCTGGCTAAATGTGCCCATCCTACGTGAGTATCTCGGTGCAGAGATGTTTGTTCCTGGCCAGACGTTCCGTTTCGATCTTGAGCGTGCCCTTGACGATTGGGTGTTTATGTGTTTCTTCGTCGGCAATGACTTCTTGCCTCATCTTCCTAGTCTTGAAATCAGAGAAGACGGCATCGATAAGCTTATTGCCATCTGGAGAGACAATATTCCCCTTATGGGTGGTTACTTGACTTGCGATGGACGAGTTGATCTTGCACGAGCCCAAATTATTCTACAGGGTTTGGCGAAGCAAGAGGACGCTATCTTCAAACGCAGGAAAGAAGTGGAAGACAGGCGAGCTCGAAATGAACAGCGCCGCAACCAAGCCAATGAAGCTCGAGAGGCTCGCGCTGCAAAGAGACGACGTAGCTCCCCTGATTACAGCAAAGGTGGCAGGGCGGATGCTCGGGTACCGACTGGACCTGTTGAGACGTTCGAGGCTTCTAACTTTCCGGTTCTGGACTACAATTCTATTGTGAACAGAGCTGCTGTCGACAAAAGCCTGGCGTCAAACAAAAGCGCAGCAGCGGTGCTGAAAGAGCAGATGCTCGCACGAAAGGCGGCTGAGACACCTACTAAGAATGGTGCTAACGGCATCAATGGCACCCCCAATTCCTCAGCCGGAAGTCCTTCGTCAATCCTGGGCAAACGAAAGGCCGGAGCATTGGAAGAAGACGTGGAAAATGAAGGGACCCCTGCATCGGCAGTAGACAAGCTGAAAGCGGCCACGATGGATGAAGAGTCAGATAGTGCTGGCACTCCTGGAAGAAATACGCCTGTTGAGAAAAAGACTTTCGACAACGGAGATCCCAACAACCCTCCACCAGATACAGTCCGCTTGTGGGAGGAGGGATATGCCGACCGCTACTACGAGCAGAAGTTCCATGTGGATCCCAAGGACATCAGCTTCCGCCACAAGGTGGCTGAAGCCTACGTCGAAGGGCTATGTTGGGTGCTTCTCTACTATTTCCAAGGATGCCCGTCTTGGACGTGGTACTATCCTTATCACTACGCTCCGTTCGCTGCAGACTTTGTCGATATTGATAAAAAGACAGTCAAGTTCGATAAAGGAACGCCGTTCAAACCATATGAGCAGTTGATGGGCGTGCTACCAGCATCTTCCAATCATGCCATCCCGACCGCTTTCCATCCGCTCATGACCGATCCCGAATCCGACATTGTCGATTTTTACCCAGAGGAGTTCGACCTCGATCTCAATGGTGCGAAGCAATCCTGGAAAGCCGTTGTGTTGCTACCGTTCATTGACGAGAAACGACTCCTTTCGGCCATGGCCACAAAGTACCACTTGTTGACGGATGACGAGCACGCCAGAAACGAGCGCGGCCATGATGCTCTGATAATATCTGATCAGAATCCTTTGTACGACACCTTGGCGATGAAATTTTACTCGAAGAAAGCCAAAGGCGGTCCAAACACCGTGAAGCTGTCAATGCAAAAGAATCAGCTGGCTGGTGAGGTGATCAAGAACGAAGATTTCCTGCCTCATATGGACCTTGTTGGGCCGCAAGACGACATCAGGCTGGAGCCTGACGTTGACGATGATCGCTCGCTGAATGTATTTTTCACGATGCCACCTCCTACCCACGTTCACAAGTCCATGCTGTTCCCAGGGGTTGTCTTGCCTCCTCCTGTTCTTGACAAGAGCGACCTGGCCATGGTGCGATCGAAGGCTAGGGTATCGGGTAGAGACTTTGGCGGTGCGCCACTATATGACAACACTCGACGTGACCGTTTTGATACGCAGAATCGCGGAGGACGTATCAACTACGCTGCCGACCGACCTCCCATTGACGCAGGCCCTCCTGGTATACCACCACCGAGTCAATGGCCTCCGGGCTTGCCTCCCCCTCCCCCACCGGGCTACGGTGGTCCAGGAGGTTACAACCGAAATCCGCCACCGGCAAATGGTTATGGAGGATATCAGGGTTATGGTGGTCAGGATCAAGGCTATTATGGCCAACAAGGGCAGAACCAAAACTACGGCGGACAAGGCTCCAACCAGTACCCCGGCGGTAACGGACAATATCAACAGAATGGTGGAAGATCTTTCAGTGACGGTTATTATCAAGGCCAAAATCGGGGACCGCCAGCGAGGGACAACCGAAGTGGAAACTATGGAGGCAACGGCGGGTATGGCCGAGGTGGTTATGGTCGACGCTAAGTCGCTACTACGCAGCAGGGTCGGATGAGCAAAGGAAGAGATGCGGCTGTAAATTTGGAGAGAAGAGGAACCTGTTAAAGTACTGATATTTGGCTGGATACAGGCGGGTATTTGTCAAGGTATTGTCTGACAGTGCTACGTAGCTGTACACCGGATGGTGATGAGGCTAGGTGGTGTTGAAATGAGTATGATATTTGGTGGCCAGAGAGTCCCTTCCTTAGTGTGCAATTAATCAGTGCCACAAGGGGTAGTTATTACAGTCTTTGGTCTATGTTCGTGGTATCAAACTTTTCCACACGCCGTCAGTCTGTATATTCGGTTATGTCGACACATTACCTCAACAGTCCTAGCTACACGGGGGGGTAGAACCAAAACACCTTCGCATCTTTTCCTAACGTGTCCGGTGCCTGTCTGCGGAGGTAAATCCCAAAGAGCTCCCTCTCTTGTGCCCGTACTTTCTCAGAGTCCAACTCTGGGGACACCCAGCCCTCTTCATCCGAGCATAGAATCTCTTGGGTGTATTTCCGCAGTTGAACCCAGTCTCGATACTCACCGAGTTGTGTTTCGTGGGCAGTCATCTCCTCGCTCGATACCGTAATCGGACAGCTCCCGCTGAGTCCGATCCTGTGCCAATTGCTGGACAGCTGGATCAGACAGTCCCTCAACGGCACCACGCCGTTCTTGAACGTCCGATCGCACAGGGTGAATAAGCGGCGCACAGTGTCAGGGACTTTTATGAGAGCCAAGTATGCTTCGCGGTCACGCTGAGCGAGGGCAACTTCGTAGCATTTCGCCTGCAGGGTTTGGTCCCGTTGTGAGAGCGCATAGGCCTGTTCGTCTGGGTCCATGATCTCGAAATCGGCCGGGAGTTCCGGCTTGATCGCCCCGGTCTGGTGGTCTTCCGGCGGCTCGAGAAAGTGCGGCCACCGCACCTGGGTGAATGCCGGTGAGATCGAGGTGAACTGCCAGTCGATGACACCGACGATCTTGGGTAGGGTCGTCGTCGGAGACGAAGATGGTTGCCCATGTGCAGATTTGTGTGCCACAGAGTCGGCCTGGCATGGCCTCGCAGAAGGGGAGTCTTGGCCAAAATAGGGATCACCTTCATGGCAGCTTCAAAATGGTGCAGATGCGAATCGGGAGATCCAAAGTGTGGTCCCCTTGGACCAAGGTAAAGATGCTATATCCCACGGGCACCATGGCTGGGAACGGGATCTTGACAACCACTTCTTTGCCGTTCTCCATGGCTAGTTTCAACGCCTTGTTGAAGCCGCCCTCGTGCTTGTCTATGCTGGATACGGGAGACATGATTGAGGGGAGGGAGGAATCTAAGGCGCAGAGCCGCTCAAGGTCGAATTTGACATGTCTTCTTGACAACTCATGTTGTTCGTTCATCAGGAAACGTCCATTGGAATAGTTGAAAAGCTCGCTTGTACAGATAGTGTCACCTGGGGTGTTCATGTCAGCAAGAATTAACATGGGGATCAGTGTGGGATGCTTTCCTCCACAAGTGATTGATATCGTTCGGCGAGGAACATGGTGAGCCAATGACTTGTGAAGGCGCTTGCTGAAGGCTCGCAGGAGTTTTGGCATTGCAACGGTCGTTTGCCTGGTTGTTCTCAAATGATGGGCATTGAGGCTGAGGTCTTGCAGTCAATACCTCGTTCAGTACTTGTAACCTCGTACTCCATAGTGTCACATAGAAGGTTAGACGCGATACCTAGACCAGGAGCTGGAGACAACAAGCCATAGTAGTGGAGAAGTGATCACGTGATTACCCGACAGCCAAAGCAAAAAATGAACTCCTCGATGGCGATGGGACTCGAACCCACAGTCTTTGCCACGCTCCTGATTGATACAAGAATGTAACCGGAAAGCAACGCCTTACCATTAGGCCACGCCACCATGCTAAGCAGGTGTAGAAGAATCGCATTTTCTGTGTGCGATTCGTGAGCCAAATCAAAACTATATTTGGCTAATGAAATATATGACTAGCAGCAAGAGGTTCCCTTGGCAAAGTAGTCAATCGTTACCTGTTACAAGTGAAATACTTCACTTTTCCAAGTCATTCACAGTCTTGGAAAAAGAATGTCAAACAGTACGGTCAAAATAATTTAGATGCGACATTTCAATTTTGATTAGATTTCGGAAATTTATCCAGGGGTTCCAGATCCCTCGACGTACCAGGCCGGCGTCAAACAGGTTTGGCAGTCAACGCTCAAGTCGTGCAGCTCACCAGGCAAACGTCAACACGATGCTTTCTTGAAACATAGCCCCGTGGTCAGACAATATATGAGGGCTGTTTCAATCACTCTCAGCCAGCATCTCCAAGTCCGACAATTCTCGTTTACAACTGGAAGAAAACTCCGCACTTTCACAGGTGTGAGGTGTTCTCGACGCTCTGACCGATCCACGTCTCAAGCTGTTTCTGGTCTCGAGGGATGAATCTCACCTTGAAGGGTTTGGGCTGAGTGACCATACTTGTCGGCACCGAGTTACACTCAATCGTGTCCAGAATCGGCCTGTCCTTTGGATCGGTGGCCTCATGGATGCGGAAGGCCAGGACTAGGCGTGTGAAGATGATGTACAGCTCTCGATTTGCCAAATGTGCTCCGGCACACATCCGGGTACCGGCGCCGTACCCAAAGTGCTGTGTGCCCTCTCCGGCGCCTGATTGCCCCATGAAGCGATCCGGGATGAATTCCATGGGAGACTTGAAGTGCGCAGGATCATGATTCGCGGCCCACATATTCTACCCATGGATTGTTAGCACGACCGTCGGCTAACGGCCCTGGGAGGTCTGGGAGGTGACATCTCATACCATCAAGAAAGGTGTCCCGGCAGGGATAACAGCACCTTTGTAAGTGATGTCGCTGACACTTTGGCGATAGAATGACAAGTTGAGGGTGGACCAGAAGCGAAGCACCTCCTACGACATGGTCAGTCTTCGAGTTGGTGGTGGCAGAGGTCACTCTTGAAGTCCCTGCACTCACCTTCACAAAGGAAATGACGTACTCGGACGTCTCTTCGTATAAGCATTCATGCCATGGGTCTTTTCCAGGGTACGATTTGATGATTTCATCGTACATTCGTGCTTGGATGTCCTGGCCGTGCGGTGACGAAAGGTAAGCGATCGTCATGTTGGTATTCCCTGGCAATGTGTCGAGGCCAGCAGCGACCATGGTCAAACAGATGGATTTGAGTTCATCTAAGCAAGCGTTCAGTCAGCAATCAACCGTCGGCAGATGGCACCATCTGATAGCTTACTATCCGCCAATTTAGCCTCTGGATCTTTCAGGACGTTGCCAGCAATGCAGGGGTGGTCGGTGCCGTTCGCGATTCGTTCTTTCAACTGATTAAAGAAACTAAGGATGTATTCGTCTCGTCGGGCCCGATACTTGACGGCATTCGACTTGTACCCGGGTAAGATTCGGAGCAACGGGACATAATCTTGCCAGTTATGCGCAATACCGCGGATGTTTCCCAGCTCTCGCTCAACGGCAACCACTTCATTAAGAGTGCTGTCTTTGACAGTGCCCTGGATACGAATACCGTAGTTCAGGGTCAGGCTGATGTTCAAAGAGAAGCGTTGGAAATAGCCGTTGGGGTCGATGTCGTACCCAAATTTGATGTTCTGGACCAGTTCGTTGATGCTGGTGGTGGACTCAAGGTCGATGAATGGGAGGTATGTCTGCACCGCCTGTCTGTTCAGGGCCGTGGCCGCCGCTTTGCGGGCTCTCTTGAGGGACTCAGACCATGGCGAGGTCCCCAGGGTATACACTCCCTGGGTTTGCGAGACCACGTCGTGGAATGTCCAAAACTTTGGCCGAGAGATGAGTGCTGACTGATTTCTGATCCATAGTTCCTTCACCGATTCGAACGAGTTTGCATAAATGAATCTCTGGACCGCAAGGAGAGTCAATACGATCGACCTAGTGACTTGTGATCTGGTACTTGGGGACCTTCACTTACGCGGTTGCCCAGGCGAACCTGGAAGACATCGCCATACGTCTTGGCCAGCCGAGCGCAGTTCCTGGCATGATACTTGCCCAAGAGGATCAGACTCCCAAAAATCGGCACCCCAGGAAGTTCGGGTAGGTTTTTGATCTTTGGGATATCGGTTCTATTGGCCCATCTAACGAGCAGCGCGAGTACAGAGGCAACAAAGAAGAATCCGATGGCCGGATGCATAGTGAATTGACAAAGGTGATAACCTTGGAGCGTCTCTCTCTTCTTCTGTGAGGTTCAATTGGGAAAATCCACCCTGGGATGAAATCGAGAGTCCGTGGATAAATATCGAGGGGTTTTAATCGTCTACTGCGTCTGCCGTGTCACTTACAAATGCTGCTTCGATGCGACTTATCTCCGTACGATCCTGGGATCCGCGAGTCCCCAAGTTGGGGTGGGAATGCATTCTTCCCATTCCGGGCTTCGTTCTACAGCAGGCCTTACCTCGGTCACCTCAACTCTACATTGAACAAGTATCGATCAGCCTCCGATTTGGAGAAGCATATTCCGACGATAGCCGTGGAGAGCCTCATCAGCATCGACATCTGTCCAAAGTCTCCAGGTCCGCGAGACCAATTGGCTGGCATCTTAATGACCGCAAACACGTTGTAAAAGGCTTTGGAGCTCGGCGTTCAGCACTTCGCTCTATCCAACTCCCGGACAGGCATATTGAGACAACATAGCATCGAAATGGCCACTTCAAAGACACGTTTAGCAATACTGGATGACTACCAGGGCATTGCTGCAGCCAAATTCGCTCATCTACAGCCCAAAGTCGAAGTCACCACTTTCTCTGACACTATCAACCCGAGCGGAAAGGCGGAGAAGGATGTCCTCATCGAGCGCCTTCGACCGTTCACTGTTATTTCGACGATGCGCGAACGAACACCCTTGCCGGGGGATGTGATTCGGGCTCTTCCGAACCTCAGATTGCTTCTGACCACCGGAATGAAGAACTCGGCAATCGACATGGCTGCCTGTACTGAGCAGAATGTCATCGTCGCTGGAGCAAAGGGAATTGGAAAGTCTGGGGACGTGAGCTTCCCTACCTCGATTGATTCTACTTTGCAACACTGCTGGGCACTCATCCTGGGTATCGCTCGGAACATTGCCCGTGACGACGCCGCCGTCAAGTCTGGTCTCTGGGAGATTTCTCCGGCTACAGGGCTGAAGGGCAAAACGCTAGGTCTGTTAGGATTTGGCAACCTGGGTGCGAGGGTTGCCTCGAGTGGTGTGTGGGCGTTTGGAATGAAGATTCTAGCATGGTCCAGTAGTCTCACGCAGGAGGTTGCTGAGCAAAAGGCCAGGTCATTTGGTCTTCCATCAGGGACGTTCAAGGTGGCGAGCAGCAAGGAAGAGCTCCTCAGGGAAGCGGACGTGTTGAGCATCCACTACGTTCTGTCTGATCGAAGCCGAGATCTTCTAGGGGAGAGAGAGCTCGCCTTATTGAAGCCCTCTGCTCTCCTCGTCAACACCTCGAGAGGCGCCCTCATCAACGAGACGGCTTTACTCGATGCTTTGAACCACGGCAGGATCAAGGGTGCAGCCTTGGACGTCTATCATGTGGAACCGTTGCCGCTCGACAGCCCGTGGCGTACGACTGCTTGGGGCAAGGACGGCAGAAGCCAAGTACTACTCAGCCCGCACATGGGCTACGTCGAGGAGGGAGTCATGAACCGATGGTACGAGGATACAGCATCGAATCTGGAGTTGTGGCTCGAGGGAAAGGACATCCCGACAAAGCTCAACTGAAGTAGGCCTCCAGGGCCGTGCTACGTCTGGTTCGATAACAGGAGCATTTGGAGCTGGGTGACTTGCCGTCAACGAACGCCCTATAGGCTGCCCTTCTCCGACCAGCTCGAGATATCAACCTCAGATCACTTTCTCATCTCCCAATCCGGAACAAGACCCAGGTGCCCCAAATTGGAGCACAGTCTGGGCAAGGAAGTGCCACGTTCCGTGATTTCTGGAATGGATCCGGTCTGTGTTCGGATGTTTTACGTCGACTGGGCGGCTGGATCTCCATGATGGGCGCGAGACTATAGTGGCATTCATTGATGCGAGTTGTCAAAGGGGCGTCGACGCGAGATTGAGAGGTTAGTGTTACGAGCCCTGGACTCATACCTGTCTCGATTAGCGAGGTGGCCTTTGTCCCAACGGCGTCGCCATTGATGCAGGAGATACTAGTGGCACGCGAATCTAGGCACTTTCCAATTAAGCTGATGTGCAATATGTGCGCCTGTATCTATTCATGCGCTGTGAAGAGGTGATCCCCTGATGTACATCCCAGACGACCGAGCCGTAAATAGGCTGCAGAGGCACGAGAGGTTGATCGTCGTTTACTTTGACATATCCACGACCAGCTTTCCACTTGCGCCTTTATGGTAGTCGTCTACCAGGTCGTTGAGCTGCTCCAGCTTGTAGGTGGTCACTCGCGCCCTCACCCCTTCCTTTGCCGCGAAGTTTAGCATGGCTCTGAGCTGCCGATTCCGCCCGACCAAGACGCCGACCATGGAGATGTGGCGGAAGACGAGGTCCCGCGGTTGCATGTGAAAACCCTCCTTGGGGAAACTGACAGTCACGCAGACGCCATGGTTTTTGACCAGCTTCATCCCGTACTCAAAAGCCTTTTGAGACTCGGGGAGGATCAGGACCCCGTCGACGCCCTTCTCGCCTTCCAGGCCGGGTTCGGGAGATCCAAAGACCGACACGCGAGCGTCCTCGGCAGACTGTTTCCGCGCATCGAGAATGGTAACGTCGGCACCTGACGGCCCTAGGTCCTTGACCACATCCTCCAGAAGAGCTAATGCCGGGTCAGACGCCTCGATAGCGACGACCTTGCAGCCGAGCTTGACGGCGAACTGTACGCCCAGATGTCCAAGGCCGCCGCCAGCACCGGAAATGGCAATCGTCAGCCCTTTGCCGCCTCCGGCCTCCATTTTCACGCCTGCCCTTTCGAGAGCATTCCAGATGGTCAGACCGGCGCACATGAGCGGAGCGGTATCGACCGCGGTCATGCCTTCCGGCATGGGCGCTATCTGGCGAGAATCCGCGATGCAATATTCTTGAAACCCGCCGTTAGCCGAGAGACCCAGGTTGCCAGCCTTGGTGCACCACACGCCGTACTTTTCCGGATCACCGTCGTTGTTGAGGCACTCGTAGCACGATCCGCAAGGATGGAAGGCTCGACCTGGAACGCCCACGGGCATTCCGACCTCGAGATTCAATTTCGGCGAGACGTCCGGGCCCATGGCGACGATTGTGCCCGCAAACTCGTGCGATCCTATTCGGGGCAGGTCTTGCCACATGGCACCAGACGCGAAGACGGCGTCGGTGTGGCAGTACGACGCCGCTCCGACTTTGACCAGGATGTCTTGACCAGTGGGATCGGGAGGGACAGGCACATCTTTGAATTTGTAAGGCGTGTTGAAGGCCTCTAACACTTGTGCTCGCATCGTCGAGATCGTGGTCTGACAGGATAGCCTCAGAGACTCTTATCCTTACATTGGAGTTGGGATTTCGATAGTTTGTATACACCGTTTGGCTTCACGGCCTAACACGGCGAGACTCGGGATATGTATGGAGGAGCGTGCCACTTGTAGTTGTAGCCTTAGTCTCGAGAGGTGCGAGTGTGATCAAGTCTGTGTGACTGCCATTTGACTCGTGAGTCTCGTAGGGAGGGCATGTTGCATAAGACTATCTCGACTGCTGGAACGCCGGACCGATCTGGAATAATTTGGGGAAGTGTCTGAGGCGATTGGTGCTGCATGGAGGGTGCGTGGACTTGTGGGACTGGTAAGTTTTGCTGCTTATCGAAACCTGGCCGCTGTCGTCGTACGGGCAGAGAAAGGGCCAGAAGAGGTGGTGATACGACCAGCCTCGGACCAGGAACGTATTCCTGGCCAGCCAATTCCCTTTCCACGCAGTTGTCGTGTCGTTGGATTGTCATGTTCTCCGAATTGGGGGAGGTTTAAGTCTCCACGAATAAGCAATTTGATTGGTGCCCGCTCTACGCTAGGGAGCAGCCGCAGCTACCGGGATCCAGCAGCCTCGTTAGCGTTTAGACTCATTGACTTGGACGCCTCCCCACAATTGTAAACCCTCAACCTCATCTTCCAACTCTCATCTTAAAGAATGTAGCATCTTCCCCGAATTCATTCTCAAATTCCCCACTGCCCGCCAGTGCCATCTCTCCTCCGCGCGATGAGCAAGGTCTGAACCATGACAACAAATCTGGCCACTCCTGCACGCCCTGCGAAAACATTCGTGTGTCATCGCTGTGGCCGTGGATTTGCCCGCCTGGAGCATCTCCAACGCCACGAGAGATCGCGTAAGGGAAATTGAAACAAAGGCGGTTTGGGAAGTATTGACTGACTTGGGCCACAAGACACCAAGGAGAAGCCGTTTCGCTGCTCCGTTTGTCAGAAAAGTTTTACCCGAAAGTATGCCGCTCCAACCCAGCGAAGCTAATCCGTCGTTTATTTGTCGTCTGGCTGACTTTTGCGAGCAAGAGATTTGCTGACCCGCCATATACGCTTGTCGCACGAGTCCCCTCTACAGAGTCGCTCTGGGCAGAATGTATCGTCGAACACGGAAACGCTCTTGCCAACACCATTGCCTCTGGTGGACTGGCCCGAGTACCAAGCTGGGTCTGGCCCAGTTCTTTCTTCCCAACACCGTGCAGTCCCACCGACGACCCATTCCATAGCAAGCAATCCCAGTGGTGAACAGGAACATATCAATCAGGTTCACCTGTCGGCGCGCTTCTTCACCCATCCAAATGTTGAGAGCCCAAGCCAGTCCAAAGAGTCATTTTCCGGACCGGTCCCGGATTACACGATGAATCTGGGCTTGCAGGACGGCGGCTTCGACGCGCTCGAGCCAGCCTATACACAAGACTTTGCTACTTTCATGGACAGCGTGCCCAACTTCACTCACCCATTCTCTCCGAGCTATCAGCCGTTGCCGGTCTTCTTTTCCAACCTAGACTTACCCTTGGCTGGTGTTTTCGAAAATACCAACGATCCTAGAGACGGCAACATCTCCCGCGATGAATCAACAGTAACGACAACCATCCATGCCACATCCACGTCACTCTCCAATATCCGTGCAAATGACTCGTCCATCTCTCGGTTTGGCTCTCGGCTCCCATCCCTCGCTCCCGAGGAAAAGCCTCCGCCCAATGGTCCCCACCCACAGGGGCCCACGAGGCTCAATAGTCGAGATTTATTCATCTCGGCCGACTGTCGACAGCATATCATCGATGAGCTGGCGACATTTTCTGGTTGTATAGATGGCGACTTTGTTCTCCCGTCTCGCCATGCGTTGTCACGATTGATAGGTGGGTACTTCAAGAACTTCCATGCTCATTATCCCTTTTTCCACATTGCCACTCTGCGAATGGACGCCATCCATGTTGAGTTGCTCTTGGCCATTGCGGCTCTTGGAGCCCGCTACACCAGAGAGCCAGAGATGGGCATTGAGCTGTTTCGTGTTGCACGAGCCATCGTCTTGGAGCGCCTCCGCCGACGCCAGAGACGAAAAGCAAACATGGGATTGGACCAAAGATTGCACTATACGCCCATAATGATTCCTGACCCAAGCTGCAGCGGAGACGAAAGATTCTGTGTGGTTGAGATGGTGCAGACTTTGCTGCTTCTGATCGCCATCGCATCCTGGTACAGACGCGAACCCGCAGTCACCGACGCACTGTCCATCCGCAGTGTGCTGCACTCGCTTATTCAAGACGATGAGATAACGCGAGCCCGGGAACAACCAACCGAGGACTGGCGGGAGTGGGTTCGGTTCGAGACTATCAAAAGAACCCACCTCGTGGTCTTTTGCTTCTTCAATATCCATACCATTCTGTTCGACTTACCGCCCATGATACTGGCAAGCGGCCTCCGGCTCGAATTGCCCTGCTCCGAGAAGGAATGGAAGGCAAGCAACGAGCTGGAATGGCGAGAAGCTCGTGCCGAATCGAGGTCAACTCGACAAGACTTTCAAACCGAGTTTTCCTGCCTCTTTTCGGACCTAGGTGAACGTAATGGCTCAGCCCAAGCCGTTGCGCGAGGCTTCTCTGCTCTCGGCGGCTGTGCTCTCATACATGCCGTCATTCAGCAGATCTGGCTTGCACGCAACGCTCGACTACCCATTGTGCACCACGATTCAAGCGGCCTCGCAGACGAAGAAATGAATGTCTTTGAACGGGCCCTGAAGCGATGGGCCAGGTATTGGGAGCGCGATCAAGAATCGTCCATGGATCCCTTGAGTCCTCACGGGCCCGTGACTTTTACATCGACAGCACTCCTCCGGCTGGCGTACATCCGGCTCAACATGGATTTGGGCCCTGTGAGGTCACTCAGCAGCTGGGACCCATCCATGGTTGCCAACTCACTGCACCAAAGCCCGAGAGTCCAACGAAGCGACAAAATGACCCGGGCGGCACTCCATTGCGCACACGCGTTAAGCATTCCTGTGAAGCTTGGGATCAACTACGTCGCCCAGACACAACTGATCCTCTGGTCGAATCAACACGCCCTCTGCTCGTTGGAGTGCGCAGTCTTGCTCGCAAAGTGGCTTGAAGCGGTGACGGTGCTCGATCCGAACCCTGCACTGACGCCCGCGGAACAGAGGGTGCTCGAATTCGTCGTCCAGCTGGTGGCTGAGACGGAATACAAGATGAGCTGCGATCACATTCTGGCGCAAAAGGCTCGGTTGAGTGGCATGGTCGTCAGGCTGTGGGCGAAACTGTATCAGTCGAGCAGCGTGTGGCAGATGGTCAATTTGATTGGAGAGTCTCTGAGGATATATGCTGATCTCCTGGAGGCTGGGCACAAACTGGTGATGTGATGAGCAAGCCAAGGGCGGAATAGCGTGTGGTGGTCTTACGAAGTCTTGGCCTCGGACGAGCTTTTGATGTTTTAAGATGACTTTACTCACGGCTGTTGTCATTCTGAAAGCAAGCGAGAAATATGAGAGCGTCTACCAAGGCGGTGGGTGATAGTGTTAATGGACGTTGTGAGCTTCCAAGGTGGAGTTTTGGCCGTTGTATGTACATCACAAGGCTGTACCTCCTTACGTAATGATATCCCGACTATTCCCGATCAAGCAACCAGGCATGGTCACTCCACATTCTGCCGATTTCAATTGGCAACTTTTTTTTTCTTCTCGAAGCGCGTCCAACCGCGTTGTCGGATTGGCGCAGTTACAAAGACCTTGGTGTACCGCCCACTTTTGCAGCAGCTTTCATGTCGAGGAAAGCACTCGAGGCGAAGGCGTTCCTGCTCCGATGCAGAAGGGCATACTGCACCACGAGACCGCTCTACCAAGAATTCCGCCCGGCGACCGCGCCGCGACAATTCCCTCCTCTCACCCAGATCCGAGACAACGTCGAGCTCTACGAACAAAACTGCCGGGTGCGAAACTATGGCAGCCACGAGGACATCCCGCGCCGAGTGGCGGACAGCGTCAGAAAGATGAGGGACCTGGACCAGCGCATGGCCGGGTCCCGTCACACGTTGAAGGAGCTGCAGAGGCAACTGAACAACGCGGCGAAAGAGAGCAAGGGGGGTATCGTGGCGCAGATGAAATCTGTCAGGCCGGAAGTCGACGCTCTCCAAGCTGAGCACGATGCACTCGAGCTCGAGACGCGCAATATTGCACTGTCCCTGCCCAACTTGACGTATTCGGACACACCCACCGGTGGTGAACCGCGGTTGCGGTCCTACATCAACTATGACCCGGACAAACCTCCGCAGTATGGCCCGTCGGCCGACCACTCGATCATCGGCGAGAAGCTGGGTCTCGTTGATTTCTCGTCGTCATCCATGACATCTGGGTGGGGGTTTTACTTCTTGCTGAACGAGGCGGCTCTGTTGGAACACGCGCTGGTCCAGTACGCCCTGTCCGTTGCCATGCGGCGCGGCTGGTCCGTTGTCTCTCCGCCGTCCCTGGTCTACTCCCACATGGCCGCCGCCTGCGGATTCCAGCCCCGGGACCAAAACGACGAACAACAGATCTGGCAGATAGCGCAGCCGGAAAAGGATGCCGGAAAACCAACCCGCAGTCTCGCGGCAACGGCCGAGATCCCCCTCGCAGGAATGTATGCCGGCAAGGCGATTCCCGCGGCACGCCTACCTCTCAAGCTCGTGGGGTCCAGCCGCTGTTTCCGCGCCGAGGCGGGTGCTCGCGGGGTCGACACCAAGGGTCTGTACCGGGTGCACGAATTCACAAAGGTCGAAATGTTCGCGTGGACCGACTGCCCACCACCAAGCAGCAGCGGTGGAGGCTTGACGGACGAATCGGCGTGGGTGGAGCATTCCGGGCGCCTTTTGAACGAGATGGTGGAGATACAGACGGAGATTCTGTCTTCGCTCGGCATACCCTGCCGAGTCCTCGAGATGCCCACGTCAGACCTGGGTGCGAGCGCGTACCGCAAGATCGACATCGAGGCCATGTTTCCGTCGAGGAGGAAGAAAGACGAGGGCTGGGGCGAAGTCACTTCGGCGTCCATCTGCACCGACTACCAGAGCCGCAGACTCGACACGAGGGTCCTGGAGGGAGACGGGTCGAGGAAGAAGTTTGCGCACACCGTCAACGGGACGGCCATTGCAATCCCGAGAGTCCTCGCCGCGCTCTTGGAGAACGGTTGGCGCGAAGACCAGGGCTGCGTGGTTATCCCGCAAGTCCTGAGGAGGTACATGGGCGGCCTGGAGAAGATTGGCCCTCGTTGACTCTACGCCACGCAGTCTTGTGACTATGCGGGGGGGATATCGTCACACGAGCGGACTTCACGATGAGCTCAACAACATATTTCTTGGAGGATACATCTATGTATATGCCGAAGAATTGTCGCGTCCCTGAGCGACCTCCGAATGTTGGAGTTTCTCCCGAACACTAGGGCATCTTTGGTTGTAAGCCATCGCATCGAGACGACCCCTGGTGTCCGCCGGCTTCGTTGCTGGCATCGTGGCGCAGCTTGGCCGTCGTGCCGACTCGAGACATTTTGTATCAACACCTACTCATCTAAATCCCACCCCACGCCAGATATACAGATAGATATCAAAGAATACCAAGAAAGCGATACTTATCAATCAAGGCTCGCGCAACATTCACAACTTAATGTATCTCTCTACCTGTCTATCTACATGTGCTATATCCGTACATATCTCGAGCTCTCGCTCTCGTCCCCGCTCTCCTTCGTACAAATGGTTCTCCGAGAGAGAGAGAGAGAGAGAGAGAGAGAGAGAGAGAGAGAGAGAGAGAGAGAGAGAGAGAGAGAGAGAGAGAGATGTTTCTCGTCGTCGGTGCCGGTGCTGGACAACATCTTCACTTTCTTTCCGTCTTTTCTGTCTATCTGTTTGTCAGGGCCATCTATGTATAGCTTACTTCAAAGAATAGGGGTAGAAAACGACTACTCTCCTACTCTCCTACTCTCCTCCATATATATACATCATATATGCCTGTTTGGAGAGAGAGAATCAAGGGTATCAGGACTTTCGCCACACAGGCGGCGCAGTAGGCACTGATGGTTGGTTGCAAAATAGTTGGCTTGCCCTATCTGAATGTACGTGTGCATCCTATTGACAATGAAACTCGACGCTTGGGAGAAGACAAAGGATTCTTGTCCCATTGATAACCAACTCAACGCAGGATAGGCCAAAGGATTTTTTTTTTGTATACATCCTCTCTCTTTCAGTCCCCATGCAAACGCAGTCCCATCTTGAATCGTTAAATCAGCGGCTCCAGAGCACCCTGGCCGCTGATCTGGACAGGGGCGATCTCGCGGACCAGACTCTTCCGCGGCGCGAGGGCCGAAGCGTCGACCCAGTTGCCGTGGATCTGGGCCTTGACGTGGAAAGGGAGCTGGACCACGGCGATGGGCGTCTCGAAGGCGGCCGTGTCCAGAATCACCACGTCGCAGCGTCCCGCGCCCCTCCTCTCCACCAGGCACATGACCCAGCCGTCGGCCTCGGGGGCGTCGGGCGAGCGCGGGATGAAGATGGGCTCCTGGCACAGCGAGTCCTCGCCGGCGTAGAAGTACCGGGTCTGGCCGGTCTTGTTGTTGTGCATGGCCAGGCCGTTGAGCCCGTGGAAGATGTTCCGCGACCCGTCCATGTTCGTGGGGACGAAGACGTTCAAAAACACCACCGTGTACGGCTGGGTCATGAATCTCTCGTCGATGCGGGGAAACTCCGAGGGCAGGTCCAGGACGACCAGCGGGTCCGGCACCGTCGCACCGTCGGGTTGGGAGAGATCGAACTCCCAGCGTACAAAGTCGGCCTTGGTCTGCGGGTCCGGCATGCGTCCATCTTCCGGGGGAAAGAAAGGGAAGGCATTGTCGTGCACGCGCGAGCTCTCGACGCAGACGTTGCCGTCTGGCGTCTCCCACGCCGCCGCAGTGTGGATGGCCATGCAGTTCTTCCATTTGTACGTGCGGTACTCGCCTTTCTTCCACCCGAACCGGGCGCCGCTGTCGTCGTGCCTCGGGACGACAATGAAGGTCGCGGGAAGGTCGTAGTCCCAGGCCCAATGCTGCTTGCCTTGCTTCATGCGTGTCACATTGGCCTCAAACGGCCACAAGAACAGCACGATCCAATTCGGGGTGATGGCACAATCGTGGATGAAGGCACACCACGGAGCCTGGACCCACAGCTCGCTCGTCTTCTTTCCGGTCCGGTCCAAGGCGTAGGTGACGACGTCCTTGGTCGCCAAACCTTTGGCCTCGTAGCCGAACACCACCAGCTCGTGTGTCAGCGGATCCACCTTTGGGTGCGCCGTGAAGGTCTTGGACTTCACCTGGCCCTTGAACGGATCATACTCGAGTGTCTCCAGGGTGTCCGGGTCCACGGCGTAGGGCAGTGCCACTTCTTTGAGGGCCAACAGCCGACCAGCCCAGTGGACCAGATTGGTGTTTGCGGTGGAGTCCACGGCCGCCCGCACGCAGGGGTGGTGGGTAAAAGGATTGCGGTAGAGACCAAAGAGGGCTTTGTTCGCTTTTCTCTCCAGCTTGTATCGTTCGGTCTCGACGTAGCGCATCTTGAAATCGCATCTGCCCTGATGGAAGCGAAAAGCCGAGACGTGGCCATCGCCGTCAATGGGCACATTGCCTGGATGTGGCGGGACAAATGGGTCGCACATGACTCGATAGAAGGTACCGTCGATCTCTTGGGGAATATCCCCAAACACGATCAGATCTCCGATCTCGCCTTCGAGTCGGCACGGTACGCTGGACCCGGCGAGATCATACGCAACCGGCCATTTGGAAGTCAGGCCATAGAGTCCGTCGATGTCTGTGTTGGGTGACATGGTGGGAGCAGGCGCTTGGTCGGCGAGGTCTCCATTCACGTGCCCATTTGTGGGTCGACTTGCGTTCATGTTTCGGTTGTTGCTTGCTATTCACAAGGGTTCGGATACTGTGAGGAAAAGTGTGGGAGTCGCACAGGTCAGACAGGGTATCCGGCCAGTCCATATATAGACTCTGAGAAGTGTTCAACTTCAACACTTTCCCGGACTCTCGGAACGTGCAACAACAATAGTTCAGACTTGACCCGGTGAAGGCTTTGAGATCTCGCTGATATCACTGGTCGGAGATGATTGTGGGGGCCTGGGGTCCTCGGGGCAAGTTTGTGGGGGAATTAGGAATCAGGAATTCATTCCATCTGCGACACAGTCCATCATTGGCCCTGTCCAAACCATGGGCTTAACCTTGTTTCTCGCTTCAGATATTGGTGGCCAGGATGACAAACGTCCGCAGGTTGAATGGTCAGGCATGGTCAGGCATGGTTCCGCGCCTCAGCGTTGCTCGCAAGCGTTGGGCACCGGCAGATGAAACGGTGGACCTCCGTGGTGTCGAAGGTATCCCTGCGCTGGATGATTGAAGGCCCAAGATTTGAACGCCAGCTGCCAGGACCGGACAAATCCTCGGAGGCTTCTAGATCAGCCTGACAAGACTTCATGCGTTGCAGGATGTGCCGAGCCAACAGCCACCATTCGGGGGCATATCTCATAAGTCCGGGCCGAGTCCACAGCTGACATGCGTCTCGGTCGTCGACTTCGGATACTGAGGTTTCGCCTGGCTTCTGGACAAGGTGCTGATTCCAGACTCGCCGCCAATTGGTCAGTGCATTGTCGTGGGCCAGGAACTGGGACTTGTGGCCAAAGGCGGGTTCAATGTTGAAAATGAGAACGTGCAATGCCGAACACAGCACCCAGAGGTTGAGGGGGCCAGCCCGCGCGAGGTGGAGAAATACTTTGTCGTCCATGTCTCTTTTTCGAAGGCACTTGATGGCTCCATAGAGGATGAACCCGTCTCGGCAGAGCGGGAGCGAAGCCCATGGCCGGAGATGGTAAAAGCAGCTACTGGCATCTGGAGCCTGGAAACACTCTTCGGGCGAGGCGAGATCCATTTTCAACTCTTGTATGCTCATTTGAGGAGGCAGGCTGTGAAAGATGACGAAGTAGGTGTCGACCAAGAAAACATATATCACGGTCCGGATAACCTGCTCAATCAAGGCAAAGTGCTGCCAGTGGAAGCTTTCGGGCGTGACCTTGTCGAGTCCTATGTGTTTTGCGTAGGGTATTAGCGCTCTCGCCATGGTCACGACCGTCCCATACCTCTCGTGTCGGATTCTCTTCGCATCGAAGTTGCGACCTTCCCATATCTGATACATGCAGACCACAAAAGCAGCCTGGAGAGATCGAAGCTGAGCCCTCACCCCATCAGTCGAGAGAGTGACACCGGACGTGACAAAATCGGGGGTGCTCGACATGTCAACGAACACCATTTCTTCAACATAGTTGCGCCAAAACTGGGCATCTTCTCGATCACTCTCCTCCGGCGAAGCGCATGCCCCAATTAGAGCCATGGCAGCCACCAGAGATCGAGGGGCGTCCATTGCACTAAAGGAGGGTTTGTGAATAGTCACCCAGTGGGGGTACCAGTGAGTCCAGAAGTGATCCAAGTATCGGCGCAACCGTGCAGGATGGAAGAATTGGATGCATGTTTGCTCCAGAATTGGCGACCACCCCTGGCGATTTCCTCGGAGACAACCAGCCTGGGACATGGCTACTTCTTGAATTCCCAACAGTATCTCATGGCTTTTCAAGGCAAGAGGGTCTGTATAGGCGTCTGGCGTGCTTGAGAAGGCCCCTCGAATTCCATCACGGGCATTGGAACCGTGGAAGGCCGCCACCACGTTGAAGTTGCTCTGGTCTCCCGGGTATCCGCCCGCCAAAACGGTGGAAAACTCCCGACTATATGAGGACCAATTGGCTTGCCCAGCTTCTTCCAAGACTGGCATGGGGCTACGGGAAAGACCTGAAGCAAAGAGTTCAGAGTATTCGCCGGGCATAGAGTTGGGAAGTTGGCGACAAATGTACTGGCTGTAGTCCTTGGGACCCAAGGTGAGGCCCCTCGGCTCATGTGTTCTGGTGGTGCCATTGAATTTAGCTGCGATGCCATAGACTTTGGGGCTGGTAAACCGGATCAGAAATTCAAAAGATTGTACTGGATCCTGATCGGGGACCCCTAGATAGACAGAGAGAGAAGACGAAAGAGAATAAGGGATCGTTGGTGGGGAGCCCAGCTCAAAACCTAAGTGATTGCTGTCCGAAGCAGAGAGAGAATAGGCGGAGGGTAGGAACGGTATTGCGTCCTCGTCGAGGTCGAGATCGAGATAGTCCCAAAGCTGGTCCTCATCAGGGGCCTTCCACGTCGATGATTGCACGCTGGCTTGAGTCATGGCCCCGTCGCCGACAGTCTTCCAGGAATAAGTGCATGTATAACCCCTATTTTTGCAGCTGATACAAGGTTGACCGCCATCGCATGCACGCTTCTTGGACGCGCATTCATCACATGCTCGACGTTTTTGCGCCTTTTCACGATACAGAGATCGAACTCCATCTTGATCTTGACATTTTGCTTGATGCCGTCGTAATACATCCTGCCGTCTATAGGCTTTTCCGCAACTGGGGCAGATATGCGGTCTGTGAGTATTGTGTGAATTCAAATGGCGAGTTAGATGGTCTGCCCGGCTGTACACCTTGTAGCAAACTGGGCACGACAAGGGCGGCTCAGGTGGCATCGTCGTGTGAAGGCCTCTGGTAGACTTCGCCTTGCGAGCCGTTCCTTCACTTTCCGCACAAAAATTGATTGCTGAAGGGTGTTTGAGCCGCGAAAACTGCCCGTGCTGGAGGAAGATGAAGCAGAAATATGGGGACGCGGGGGAATTCCGGGGGGTTTGCACGACTTCTGGAGCTTCAATTGCCGGCTACGGCAGCCAAGATCGGGGCGCCAATGCGTGAGCTGCGTGCAATTGACGTCGGCGGGGGTGGTCAAAACAACGTGGGGTGGCCACTCACGGTGGTGAACGGCTAAGTTTCCCTCACAATGTGGCCAACGCTTGGAGATGGAACTGGCGTATCTCTCGACAACCTCTTCGGGGAAGCTCGTCATGCCGGAGTAGCTGCCGTGATGGAAGAACGCCTAGAGCATCTGCTTTTCTTTGGTGGAGCCGAAGTCGTGGCCCACAACGTAGGAAAGAAGTGATGTCTAAGAAGTCGAGAATAGCCTTGGTGTCGGCCGCGGAAGCCGTTGCAGTATAGTGCCCGGATGGCGGAGGTCGATGAGTCTCCGGTCCCGCTGCTATCGAGTGCTACGATCGTGTAGTTGTTGTCTGCTAGGATGGGTCCGCTGATGCGCCATGTGAGGTTGAAATGCGGCCTCCCGTGCAGTAAAAGGATTGGTGGGTCCGAGCCTGCGTAGCGTAGATGAATGGAGACGTTTTCGAGTGCAACGCGCTCATGAACCCAGTTGTCGAAATTGGTCAGGGCTGAGACGAGGGTTGCTTGCATTGCCAGAAAGAAGATGACGATGGGTAACCGGCAGTTGGGGGGACTCGTAATGTCTGCCTGGGCTCGAATAGAGGATCCCCGACTCCATCAGTCCAGCTGAGTGTCGGCAAGTTGAGGCAAGCCATAGGTTTGACCTTTCATACCCTGGCCGACGCCCTGATTGCTGACAGCAATGAAACACCGCTTTGTAAGACCAAAATCCACCATGGAGTCTCAACGTAGTGCTAACAAGATTGTAAAGCTTTCGGAGAATGTTCTGTGGATATTCCAACATTTTGCCATCATTAGCTCACCTAGTCGCTGTCAGCGCACAAGTAGCCATGGCGGTTTACAGAACATACAAACATAGAAATGAATTAGCCATACTAGCATCGTATCTGTTGTAGAAGTAGGAGCGCCAGACGTTCTCTCGGGTTTAGCATGTTCATACTTGAATTACTAAACCGCATGTTACCAATATAGGCGTTGGCTTTCCGGGATTTCGTCCTGGATGATGGATTACTGAAACCAGAGAGCAGCACAGTATCTTAGCACTCGCAAAGATTATGGGTCAATGGAGTTTCGTGTCCGCTGGAAGGTGTGTTTCCGTGGTTCCTGATGCAAATACAGAGGAGCTGTTGAGGAAGAAGACATCCCCTATAAAGCATGGTCAACCTTCAGTGCTCAGATGATCATCAACTCGAACCTGGCAAGTACATTGCGTGTTCGATTGTCCGCAAGCATGCCTAGTGTTCTTCTCACGGGGGCCAATGGCTTTTTAGCCACACATATCCTCAAATGTCTTGTGGAAGTGAGTGTCGACCAAGGGTCACCGATGTTCTCGAGCTCGTGTTCTAACATCGCACAGGACGCATTCGACGTGGTTGGCACAGTTCGCTCTGAGGCCAAAGCTGACGACGTGTTTGATGCTCATCCTGAGTTCAAATCGAGACTCCGCCTAGCTGTCGTATCAGATATGTCAACTCCTGGCGCCTATGATAAAGTCTTTGAGCGAGGGCATTTTGACTACATCATCCACACGGCAGCACCGGTGCCTGATGGTGATGGGACAGATTTTGACCGGGATTTCTTGGGGCCTGGTGCTCAGGGGTGACCTTGCCTTCCCTCTCAATGGCAACCTCACGTCTTTTGCTGATTTGCGTTAGCAACCTCGAATTGCTGCACGCAGCTCAAAAGTATTGTAAATCTCTCAAGCATTTTACCTATACTGGTAGCATGGTGGCTGTGCACGATGTAACAAAGCCATTGGATGGGCGTGTACTGAAAAGTACAGATTGGAACCCGGTATGTTGCAAGTCGAAGTTCGAAGACTAATGGCAGGGCTGACGCACAGAGGGACGGTCACAGGTGAGTCCTGAGGTCGCTCGCCAATTGCAGCACCCAGGCGCCAGTTACATGATCTCCAAAACTTTAGCGGAAAAGGCCCTTTGGGACTTTGTCAAGAAAGAGAAACCAGCGTTTGGCGTGTCGGTACTTTCGGTGTAAGTCTGGGTCCTCAGGTTATGGTCGTCATGTGTTAATCCAACAAAGACCGTTGATCATCGGGCCACCACTGCAGCACCTACATCAGAATGCAGCTGGCAAGAGTCGCTTCAACATGAGCGCGGACCTCTTTTACCAGACATTCCTGAAACCTGTCTCGGGCACAGTCGACGGGTCTTCGCGGCCACTGTATATCGGATATATCGACGTTCGTGACGCCGCCGCGCTACATGTTCAATCAATCATCAAGGGTGGAAGCGAGAATAGACGTTTGTTGGTGGCAAGCCCAGAACCATTCCTTGCGAAGACAGTATTGGGGATCTTGGCCGACAAGTTTCCACAACTGGTCAATCGACTTCCATCGGTGCGAGCCGCAGCAATCGTGGCGAATGGCGAGCAGGACGAGCATCACCCACTCAAGGTGGACGACTCCGAAGCCAAACAATTGTTCGGAGGGAGGATTTATAGACCGCTCGAGCAGACTGTTGTTGATACAGCGAAGAGGCTGTTGGAGCTTGAATGAGCATCAACATCAGGTGGTCAGACAAGGCGCCATGGCATAGAAAGCAACTTCGAAGCTTGATGAGATGGTGAATTTGTTAGCAGAACACGTGGATGCAAACTAGATGGGAAAGTCTTCCGGAACGCTAATGTCTTGGCGGATTCACGTTGCTAATCACGTTGGCCTTTACCATTGTTTGTGGTCATCACAACTTGATTCACTTTGCAATCCTTCAGGAAATATCACAAGGAAATACCTGAAAAGGACCTCTGCGCCTTCACCCACCGCATCATGAGGTGTCAGGATCTATTGCACCGGCATGGGTTTCGCTACCAAAATGATATGGGACGATTAGTAATACTCTGGGTCTGATAAGGCTGAGTAAAAGCCTCTGCCTTTGTCGGACGAAAAGCCGGAGGTACGGAACGACTTCACGATTCGTGATAATGTTGTGCCCTCGTTCGATTGAAACGCGCAAAACTCCTGCTATGGCCATATTAATGTTTTGAAAAATCTCTACGCATAGACAGTTTTAGGCCATACAGTCCTCGATGTACCACAACAGACAAGCGGAACAGTGTCGAACTGCGGATAATAGATCCCGGCGTGCGAAATGCTTGAGTCTAGAATGAATGCAACCAACGCCAGATCTGGCTTGCGACAAAGAGTGGCTCATTTGAACATGCGGAAGGGCACTAAGAGCTGTCATGAATGTAAGACTGCCTTTCCAGGTTGGTGGCTCGGTGTTATCGAATTTCCGCACTCAGTAAATAGCAAGACCAGTCAACTTCTGGCTGAGACAACAGCTGATCTGAGGCCCTCAACAGGTCGACGTCGAAAGACTAAATGCACCTATCGTGACGGAAGTCGGTCGAGGTGTGAGGAATGCTATGCTCGTGGCACACCTTGCGTGGCCCAAAGTCAAAGCCCCAAGACGACGTCTGTTATCAATACTGCATCAACCAAAGCAGATGGTAGTAGCGAAGCGAAATACAGTCTGCGGGAACGAGTTGCTCGTCTGGAGGATTTTATCCAAAACTATCTGAGCAATGAATATAGTTTCCAGTCGTCGAACAATCGGCAAAGTCATGACACACTCGACAATCATTCCGCGTATACCGGTAATTAAGGCATAATGCATACCTAACTCCAGCCAATATCAATTGACAATGTATGATAGACCCAAGAACAGATGGAGGGACACCCGCATCCGCCAGCGTCCCTTCCGCCTCGAACCCTTTCTTGAGTTTATTCGACAATGATATTATCACACAAGCATACCATACGACGCACACTTCATTTGCCCAGCCAATGGCTAGGACAGAGCCACCAGCTTTCCATCCTGGTCGATACGAGCTTCTGCTGCTCCTGCCTCATGATCCAGATCTCGACATCCTGATCAGTCTGAGCGAAGACTGGTGGAACTCGGCTCCTCACAGATTTCCAGAGCTATTCAACCGCGAAGAGACGACTGCTGAAAACTGGAGATCGGTGCTCAACCGCAAATTAAGTCTTGCAAATCCCGCCGAGACTGCCAAAGTCCTCCTCTGGGCTTTGATTAGTGCCGAGAGGCTGAGTGAAGAGGTCTTTCAAGGTGGCACTTTCCGAGATCCTGGAGCTCTGACTACTTTGGAAAGTCGAATTATCCCTGCCATTAACCGAGTAGTGGTCTTCCAGGATGATATCACAACAACATTACCCGGTATAGAATGCTTGGTACTTTTGGCACGCTACCACTGCAACCACGGCCGACTGCAGAAAGCCTGGCATCTATCTCGGCGAGCACTCGAATACGCCATCAGCATTGGTCTTGACCGCGCCGCCTCTATCAAACAAAGTCCGATCACGCCAGGTCAATCCCTTGGTCGACATATTGAAGTATGGGAAGCGATCTGTTTCCTGGATCGATATATCAGTATGATCCTCGGGCTGCGTTATGGAGTGCGACATCCATACCCTGACTTACGAGCGGGAAATGTCAAGACCGTGCAGAGCACTTCACCACAAGCGACATTCTTTTATGCCGCCATGAGCTCAATCATTGGCCAGATTATTGATCGGAACCAGGAGCCGCTCGACGACTCTGTTGTCTTTCTCCGGACGCTGAAGATAGATCAGGAGTTGAAGGAGGTCATGGACAACATGAACACAGTTCAGTGGGATGTTGACCCAAGGTCCTCCGACCCACTGACACGGGAGGCTTTTGAGCGCATCGAAGCGCACTTTCTTATGAACTTCATTCAAGCACTACTACACTTACCGCTGATGCTGAAATGTATCGACAAACAAGACAAGGGCGCGTTTGAGTTTTCATACGGCGCCTCTCTCAGATCATCGCGTCATGCTCTGGTCGCGTACAAATACCTCCGCGTCGGCTTGCGACTCGACCGATATTTATGCGCAATGCTCGATTTTCAGGCATTCACACTATCCGTGCTGCTGACCCTACATTTACTGAGCCAGAGGACCGGAAATAACTCAGAATCAAACAGTGGATCCCATACTTCTGGAGGACAGGATGAACGCGACTGGAAATCCGTCACCGACATTGCAGAGATCCTTCGAGCGGAATCGACAGATAATCACAAGAGTATTGTGGCTACACAGGCCGTGGCAATTCTGGACGTGCTGTTAGATGCGCGAGGCAATGTGGGCGAACACATCGATTTGCGCCCTCGATCCGAGTCCGACGCTAGCGAAGAGTGCGAAAATCACATCAAGATGACCATCCCCTGTTTCGGAGACATCACAGTTACGCGAGGCACCAAGGGAGCCCCTTGCTTTAGTCTCGGCGCCTCTGCAAATACGCTGGGTTCCGCTCCTGACGCGACCGCTACATTCTCGCCACTTGCAGGGCAGGGTGAGACAGTCCTCGATGCGGCAGATCTGTGTGCGATGGCAATGTCACTTGATGACAGTTCAGCGCGTTTTGACGGCAACTGGGACGTGCTCGCTAGCAATGTGGCCTCGGCGGTGGCGGCAAGCTCAAAGTGAATTGTAACCTCGACCTCATATTCCGTTGGCTTTGGCTTGGTGATGGTCAACCGCCCGGCCATTCGAGCTTCTCGTTTTTACGGCATTGCGCAAAATAAGGGGAACGCAAGTCATCCGTACATCAAGCGAAGCAGGGAATCTGGTATGCTGAACTTAAAGCAATAAATAGATACTCGTCAATTTTGGTCGCTGCACACAATTATCTACGGTATGCCCCCAAGAACACTGGACGGACGATCGAACATGTCGCCCCATCACGAGAAACGACAAAAGAAAACCCATAGAACGCTCATACCATACGTTTGATCAGTCAACCAGCCAGTCCTTCAGTCCCGGGGTAGTTCGCCCTGCACGTGCATAGGCAATTCTCCACCCGACGCTCTGATCACATCTTCGAATCTGTATAGTGACAAATAAAAGGAGATTGAAATTAGCCAAATTTGTTTCATGGGTTCGTTCCTGACATGGACAGCAGTAGGGAGAAGGTGGAGAACTCACGCCGACTGAAACATGATATACACCATCTCGTCGTTGTACACGTTTCGCGAGTACTCTGCCTCTTCGTGCGCGACCTTGATGGTCTTTGTGCCGCGGCCCGCGCAGGCCGCGTCGGCGAGCAGCTGCGCCTGGATGCAGCGGTCCATGGCGCCGAAGAGGAAGGCGGCGCCGTCGACCGTCTTGGCCACCGTCAGGTGGCCGTGGTTCTGGAGGATGACGCCCTTGGTGTTGCCCAGCGCCGCGGCGATGTGGTGGCCCTCGTCGGCTTTCTGTCCCAGGGGGTGGGGGAGACGTCGTTAGCCGTCCGATCTGGGCAGACACCACCGTAGACATGGGTAGGATGGAAGCTTTCACCCTCTCGTATCGAGGCAGTCAAAAGCGGAAACACTTACAAAGGCAATTCCGCCAAAGCCAGAATAGATTCCATGGTCTTTGTAGAACCTGACGTTCAGACAAACAATCCCGTATCAGCATGCGCAATATCTAGCAATGTTCGATCTCGGCAGAAAATATAAAGACACTTTTTTCCAAGTCCGGAGGAAGGGAAAAAAAAAAGGGCTAGGTACTGCTTCCTTGTTCCCTCTTCCTCTTGCTCTCACTCCCTCTCCACCCCCTCCAAGGCTCTTTCTTTCACCCGCTGCCTGAGATGAGAATGACAAAACTTACCGACACGCGTCCTGGTTGATCGGCTCCAAGTGGCACCCGAGCGCGGAAAACGCCTTACTTGGCACACTGTGGCAGTGGACCGCGGCGACGACGTCGGGCCTGGCCTCGTGCACGGCGCTGTGGATGACCCAGCCCGCGGGGTTGACGCTGTGCATGTTGCCGCCCTCGACGACCTCGCCCTTGGGGTTCATCAAGACCAGGTCGTCGGGCGTCATGTACGAGAACGACTTGCCGTGCGGGTTGATCCAGAAGTGGTCCGGGAGGATGGGGTCGCGCACCGTGACGTGCCCGCCCGCGCCCTCGTTGTTGTATCCCTGGTAGCCCAGCCACCGCAGCGCCGCGGCGTGGTGCAGTTTGCGGAACGCGCGCTCGCTCTCCAGCGACTGGAATTTCGGGTAGCGGATCCGTTTCACCGGTCGCGTGCCCGTCTCTTGGTACGCGCCGTAGGTGAATTCGGGGGAGAAGTTGGGCGGGTCTTTTGGAGTGGTGCTGTTGGTGATGTGTTGAGTGGCGACGGCGGCGGGGGTTGTCCGCGAGATGGAGATTGTGCGACGTGTGCGGCCTGCCATTGTCGATTGGACAACGGAAAATGATGACGGCCTCGCAACAAGACCTCGGGAGACATATTGCGCCCGCAACGCGATCGAGGCGCCCGGTGCCATCTTCTGTCCACGAACTATTCTAAACCCCTTCAATCAGACTTGGTGGAGGAGGGTAAGAGGCGTGTTTGTTCGTTGTCAAAAATCATTCGACTTTCAATGTAATCAGTGTTGGAGATAGCGGAGTAGTACTCGGTATAGTGTCACCCAACCCTTTTACCCCGGCAATTTCGGGGCTCGTTGACGTTGCGGGGAAATGGTCCGGTAGTCAAGGTCGATGCCGAGAGGCGCAAAAGTCTCCAAAGTTATCACCAGCCAAGGGATGATCCGAGGTCAGTTTGCCTTTGTCATGGTAGGTCAATAACCAAGGTCATCATTGGACAATGCTTGTCGGTCTCTAACCCCCGTTCCTGGCTGGCGTTTGAATGAAGCCTTTCAAGCACAAAACGCAAGGGGCTCAGCCTCGTTGGTGGAGACATTTGCCAAGAATTGCCGCCGAGGGTTGAAAGAGGCTGAACCGAGTTACGGCGTGTGTATACGAGGTCTGCGAGGTGCAGAATAGAAAAGTATCGCTCTCGTCCGCCTGATTTTGTCGGCATGATCGCGTCTGCAACATCATCTGAGCAAATTATTCCGGACTCACCGTGCATTCATGATCTGGCCGAGTGTCCTTGGTTCAGCGACGCACGAATCTCTACGTGTCAGAGGCTATCCCTCGAGACATTGTCCACCCAGACAGGCAGGCTCGAGCAAGTGATGTGTCCCTTTCGACTACGCTCTCCTTTGCGTAAGCTCGCTTGTACAAAGGCTACTGGAGTCTGCTGAAGCCGCTCGACGCCGTCGAACATGCTAGATTGTCACGGAACAGCTGGCGTAGTCCTTGGAGTACAACCGCTGACACTTTTCGGCATCTCGCGTCCCGTCATACTCGGCTGAGGTTGAGCAAGCATGCTCCCTCCACACGAACATTTTACCTTGTGACAAATATCCGACATGATATGTGATTTGTCTCCATCGGCACGGCGCGGAGCGGGCGAAAACGTGGCCCAGGAAGGTTCGGAGGCCTTGGTTGCGGGAACGAATAATGCGTCCAGGATACTATACTGTAAATCAAACGGACGACGGTCTCCTCTAGCAGTCTGGAAGCGTAAAACTCTGTGTGAGGTCGTCATTGTATTCAATTAATTTTCTCGCATCAAAGGCGGACAAGCACCCCTCGAAAAGAGAAATTCTCCTGTCCATACGCCATTGTCCTGCCTTGGCTCAACGAATCATTTACCCAAACGCTCTCAAGAACAACCAAAGACAGGCACTGCTGAGGAGCGGGATGGTCAAATTGTCATCCCAACCCCAGAGATCTATAAATTCAGAGAGGCTGGCGATAAGCCCCGTGCAAATGCTCATGACTGCGAGTGCGGCGTCGCCGACAATAACTCCCTGGTTCGCTTCCCAGCCTAGGAGCCCCTTCACTTGACTAGGGAGGGTCAAACGGTTTTGGAACATATAAGGTTGGATGGGGTCGTCCACGAACGGGCCAGTTCTCGGAGCCAGATAACCCCAGAAGAAGAGAGCCGTGAGCACGCCCGTAAGGAAAGCGGCGAGGGAGCCTGCCAGAGACTTGCCTTTGCGCAAGCGGATGGTATACCGTCCATACAACCGACCAAAAGTGCTGGCGGCAGTATCACACCAGGACAACAAAAGAATCGACATAACCCCAATGTCTTTAGGGAAGAATCGCAACGCCCCGTATGCTCCGACCAAGTACCAAATGACGCCGTTGTATCCATCCACCTCAGTTTCCCGCATCAGCGCCCCCAACACTGAGATGTAGAATCGATTAAATCGTTCAGAGTGATGACGGAGGATGTCAGTTGGGGCGATGATGGCAAGCGCGCCCAACAGCCACGGCGTTATTGCCCAGGTTTGTACGCCTGTCACAAAAAAGCGCAGAGTAAAGAACCCGATCGAGACGTGGAGGACCTTCCGGGGGATTTCATGCTTGTGGATCAACGTTCGATAGTGGCGGTGGAGTGGGATCAAGCCGAGCGGTGAAGGAGAGCGGGAGAATTCTCGCCAGGATTTCTTGACTCGGTCATAGGGTGAAAGATGCCCGTTTGACTGTGGATATGGGATGGTGCCATTTGTCAGGGGCTCTGATTTGGCGACCGGTTTTATCGAAGTGAGGCCGCTCATGCGTCTCCTCTTGCTGGTATTCGCCGAGCCGTTCATGTGAGTGGCAGCGGTCAAGATGGGACTTCTAGAGCGCGCTCTGGCACGTTTCTCCAGGCTTGAGTCGGACCCGGAGCCATCCTTCTCTTCATTTATGGGGTCTGGTTGAGGGGATCGTTGTCGCCGGGTTTTCGCGGCCGATCGTGTGACAGGCGCAAAATAGGAGTCCTGGCGTTCGGAGGACTCGGAAGGGGTAGGGGAAGGTGAGATAACTCTCGGAGTGGAAGGGATAGGATATTGGTAGGACATCAGGAGGATTTCAGGCTGGCAGATGAGGTTCGAAGGTGGTAGTGAGAGGGGCTGCGAGGCAGCAGGGTGAGATGGAAATTTCTTACAGCCTGCGCATCTGCGCACCAGCCACCGTAGATAGGGAGGGGAGGGTCGAGCAAACAATCAAATTGGCAGCATAATGATGAAGGAGTTGCAGCGCTTGCGTCGCACAGTATCTCCAATGTGGCCGTTATTCTGCGATTTGACGATGACGCAGGAGGGCGATGCGCATGGATGGGATCTTGTGCCCTGGATTTGGGATAAAGAAAACTGGGTGTGGAAGGGGGAACATGACGGGCACATGCAAGGATCCGCGGAACACCGAACACAAAGCAAGCCACTTTTTGTGGACTTGTGAGCTGTGCATAAGCCACAAGCCCCTCGTGGAGTCGTGATTCCCAGGCGCCTCCAGCCACTGCCTACCCTGCGATTTGCTCGGTCCAGGCTGCCATGCCGCCCGTAGCTCGCTTATCAAGGAGCTCGGAGCAATCGACATGCCGTTTGACTTCCTACTAATCACACTAGATCATGAATATGCCATCACTAAATACTGCTTTGGTGCTTTACTTTTTTTTAGTGTGGATTTTGTACAAATGCTCTCATGAATGCAATCTGATAAACGACACTTACCAATTTCCCGTCTGCAAACCTGGTAGACCCTTGGTCAATATGTCCCTGCTCAAGAGGAGAATGGGAGAAGGGTTTTTCATTATAGTCGGTGCATGATAAGCGCTCGTTGCCGCCGACCATTCGTTCTTCCACAGTATACTTGGACAGCATCAATATAATTTGCAGCATTCAAGTTTCTCATGCAATCAGCCACAGGATCTGGAAAACAGGGCTTCCCGTTCGCTCAGCCGTACTTAAGCCAGATACCGATTGGTTAGTACCAAGGTGGGGGACCACTTGGGAATCCCAATTGTTGATTGTTTTTGCACTTTGACATGCTCGAGGCTTGTTGCTTGTGGTGGCTGGACAAGGTGTAGTCTCCCGGGGAGTGAGAGGTTCTGCCGTCCAACGAACAAATAGTCCATTCAGCCAGGCGGTGTTCCTCGATACAAGATCAATTTTTAATAAAGAAGCCAGCCTCGAGACCAAGTGGCCCAGACAGTTGCTGGTAGTGCTAGAAGGGTTCATGTTGATAGTGGCTCAGGGCCACTTGATTCTATTTCCGAGGGATCTGCTGGTTAAGACAAATTAAAGGCTCCGAAAAGAGGTCACCGCTCGTCTCATCTTGAAACCAGTCACGGACGTAAACAATGGCATCCTCGTAGGACATTTCAAATTGAGAAGGTGACCGTTCTGGGCACGGCTCCGTTAACGTACTCGAAAGGTCGACGATCTTTGACCCGCGGTAGTTTTCAACTTAAACAGCCTGTGGGTGTATTCTCGCGTCTTTGGAAATCCGGAAGTTCTCGAAGATTGTCTGAAGGTCGGAGTGGCTCGTCGCTATCGGGAGATCATCTTTGACGGTAGCCCACCTGCTCAAGCCAGGGCATCAAATACGGTTCCGATCACCCCGAATTGTGTATTGGATAACTCCATCCATCCATAGCACCGATAGCTCCACGTCCCGTTCTCGCTGAGGGACTCAAGTCGCGCGAAAGCCTGGCTTTCATTGGCGAGCGGCGACGTGGAAACTGTTTCCAGTTCTTGAACTAAGCAATAGGTCAGGACGGATGAATCACTTCCACGTTCAGAACATATCTGCTGCCCTGAATGTCAACCAACACCACCACCCCATGTTTCCCCAGTCAAGAAGTTGAGGGTGTTGCATGCTCTCCTGGCAGTGGATAAACTAGCGTAACTGGTCTCTCGTCGTCTTGTTCGACTGATCGTGTGGCTGCTCCGAGAGCAATCAGCCAATCATGTCTCCATTCATCAGTTCTGCGTCTATATCTTCCCTCATTACCCATCTTCGTCTAGTCATGATGTAAGTCGAACGGCCTCGCTGAGAACGGGATCCACTACGACCGATTTTCCAGGGGTGATGAGGTTCGAGACCGGACGAGGACCAAAAAAACAAAGAACGAAAAAGAACAAGTCCACTCTCTCGTTCTCGTTCTCTTTTGAACCGGTTAGAATGACGGGTGGAAAAAAACTTTTCCACCCAACCCCTTCGATATGGGGGTGGATGGTAAGTGAAACCCGCCTTGTGGCAAGTTTTTTCCGTTTCGCAGATGATTATTGACTCCCCACCTCGGGTGGTGGGGTACCTGATAACATCTCTGTTCGAGTTGGAAGAGGAGGATCAGGAGGATCGGAGAGGATTCGCCTACTTTAACCCAAGTTCCTTCGCAAGTGTTGACTCTGAAGTCTCTTTCTCTTTTTTTTTTTTTTTTTTTGTTGACTCTGAAAGTCTCTTTCTAAAGTAGGGGTCTTTGCGATTGTGATCACTTTTTCGAGACTATTAATTATATGTGATTATTTTTCTTTTCGTTTGTATTTTGCCTGTTCTGGTCATGTAGCCTCGTTGACGCCAAGGTTGATAGAGGGTGCGGTAGAGAAAAGGGGGACACATGCCAAAGCGTCTGAGGAAGGTAACGCGAGAACAAATGCTGACTCATCCAGCAGTGTCGCCCGCCGACACCTAATGGGAGCTAAGTACCAACACCTCAAAATAGTGCGCCCAACATAAGGAAGTGATTTCGAGTTGGTACTCGAAACAAATACTCCTATTATCTCGACTGCCAACTCTCATCCCTACTTCTCTGTATCCCCTGGCGTCGTGATGACACAATACTGCACGCTTCTGTGCCCTTCTTCACGCTCTGCACTCTTCCAGCCCACATCTGGATCTCTCCCCGAGAAGGCGCACATCTCTCACGATGACTGCGAAGCAGAAGTTTCGGATGCTTCACGTCTTTAGATCTGCACAGAAGATCTTCAAAATCACAGCCCCAGCCGACGCGCGAATCAAGGGCACCGCGGAGAGCGCCATAAACACCTCAAATCTCCGTAGTCTACTTCTTAACCTGCCAAACGAGTTGCTCTTTCGGATCACCAGTTTCCTGGAAGATGAATATCAACTCTTACTTCGTATTTGCTGCCGACAACTTCACCTCTTACTTAGGGGTCTCGACCCGAAACTATGTGATTTAAGTACGAAGCTGCGGTTCTATAAATGCCTCGAGCCTGACTACCCGGAATATCTTCCCTGCCTAGTGTGCGGAATCATGTTCAAATGGCGCTCTCCGCTTATGTATGTCTGCTGTCCACGCGAGGGTCAGCACCAGACTATGTCTAAATGGACTTCGGCGGTATACGAATATTGGTACTTAGCAGGAACAATTGATATTCGAATGAGTCGCTTATTTATCGGATCGATTCTCCGTGCTCACGAACGAGGTGAGCGATACGGGTATCCCGTACCCTCCTTGCGATCGAGCGGACTGCATCGCAACGGCGTCTTGTCCCAAAACGATGCACGCATGATTGGTGGAGAACTTGTGCTTGCTACGCGATGGGAGCTGGACGCAGATCTTCGAATGGAATGGAAAGAACAGGTGAAGCTCTTATTCTGGGCTTCTTGCTTGCATTGGCGAACCAACGGATGGCACCACAAGATATCGGCGTTACTCAAGGGTGCGTCCACGAACACGATGACCTTGAAGTCCGCGGAAATCCTCAAGTGCTCCTTTTGCGAATGTGACTGCCAACTACAAATGAATCACAAAACCGACACAAATTTGGGGATCCTCTTTTATGTCTGGAGAAATTATGGACGACGGTACGGAAAAAGGCAAGGGAATGAGCAAAATTTTTCACCGTGAGCCCGCACCGCCGCTGGACATCGAATCGGTTTCGCAGAGAAATATACGTTCCCTCTTTGAGTCTGGAAACGAGGAAAGGGGCAGCACGGAGGGCACGGAGGTTTGCTAGCGTTCCAGACGGGCCGGTCTGGACAGCCGAGACTCTTATGAGGACTCCTGGGCTGCCAAAGTTGCAAAAATGAACCGCGAGGGACTTTCGCCCAACGGCAAGTATGGATTCCCAGTACCCACTACCATGGGTGCTTGCGAACAGACAAATGAATGGACGAGCTCCTGGGAGAAATCCTTCTCTACACTTGTGAGCAAAATGTTCAACTTCGAACAAGAAATACATGCGGGAATGCAGCAGATGCACCAGGTCATTCAGCACCAAGTCGTCCCGAGCCTCTTACGACCTCTGGAAACAGGAGGCAGAGAGATCCAGCCGACGATAGTGCATGGCGACATATGGAACGGCAATACCTCTGTCGACGCAACAACAGGAAAGCCAGTCATCTTCGACGCTAGCGGCATGTATGCTCACAATGAGTGTAAGCCCTCTGAATAGCCCGTACAGTCGACGACCAAGAAACTGATGTGCACAGATGAATTCAGCGCATTGAACCAGCCGCGTCATAGGATCTACCGCTCCTACATCGGCGATTATCAGAAACACTTCCCGGTCTCTGCTCCAGAGGAGAACATCGAAGATCGCTTGATCCTTTACCGGCTCCGATTCAACTTGTATCAGCATGCTCCCTAAACAAGGCGCGATTCAAGGATCTGTAACTCCCAGACGAGCCAATCAATTATATCATTTACTGACGAATCAATAAGTGTGATCGAGGACATGCAGTATCTAACGACAAAATATAAAGATGGGTATCAAGGCAGTGAGCAGAGAAGGGCGGAAGCATGATCATATTTCTCGAAGTGCGATCCGGAATTCACTGACTACGTGGCTTATATGTATGCCGGTTGTCGTCGATGGTCAGTGTCGAGCAGCCTTCCGAGAGTGACATAGGCACGGATATTCAAATTGCTGGCTAGAGAGAATATCAACTATTACTTCCACGACTTGTGCAAGCACTCCTTTCATCAATGATCGAGTTACACTTCCCCGAGATATGATATATGTGACAAAGATACAGACTAGATCCTAAGGCTGCTATCAGAAAAGGGTGTGTCTGGATGAGCTGGTCTTCCAAAGCAAACGATCCTCATGACTAACTAGCTTGCCTTGATTGACAAGGAGACTCACTATACGCCATTTATCTGGTCGTCATGCCCAGCGAGAGATGGGGGATAGGGGTGGCTAGCCTTGCTTATGTCAGAGGGCCCGCAGGACAGCAACATCACTTGTATGTCCCTACATAGGTGGACGACACAACCAGGATCTTACTTAGGGAGGAATCTCTTCTCATCGACGAGTTCCATTGACTCTGGCAACAAATTGACTCAAGTTTATCACGGCGATATCCTCCGAACTAGAACTCCGATTTCGCCGTGTCTGACCAGGGTCGGCCAAAAGATACTCGGGCAAACTTTTACCCCAACCACGATGATATATATACTGATTTTCGCAAGCTAAACAAGCCAGGGACGTCCTCTCACATCCCAGGAGCTGGTCTTTAATTGTGTCAAGAGGCTTTACATCGCAGCTATAATAACCGTCACCATGATTCAACACAAGAAATTGAGAATCGCCGTCATCCCTGGAGATGGAATCGGGGTTGAGGTCATGCCCCACGGGGTGCGGTGTCTCCAAGCGGCAGCAAAGGTATTCCACCTGGACCTCGAGTTCGAGGAATTCGACTTTGCGAGCTGTGAATACTACCGAAAACACGGCGACATGCTCCCCAAGGATTGGAACGCCACACTGTCCAAGTTTGACGCCATCTACTTCGGCGCCGTGGGCATGCCGGACCAGGTCCCTGACCACGTTAGTCTGTGGGGTAGCCTTCTCAAGTTCCGCCGCGAGTTTGATCAGTACATCAACTTGCGGCCCGCACGGTTAATGCCCGGCGTGCGCTGTCCCCTCGCAGGGCGGAAACCGGGCGATATCGATTTCTGGATCGTTCGGGAGAACACCGAGGGAGAATACAGTAGTATCGGTGGGAAAATCTTCGAGGGCACCGACAGAGAAACAGTCATTCAAGAGACGGTGATGACCAGGACCGGAGTCGACAGAGTGTTAAAGTACGCGTTCGACCTGGCTCAGAGTCGGCCGAAGAAGCACCTCACAAGCGCAACCAAGAGTAATGGGATAAGCATCACGATGCCTTATTGGGACACGAGGGTCGAGAACATGACCAAATCATATCCCGACGTCAAGGTGGACAAATACCACATCGACATCCTGACGGCGCACTTTGTCCAACGGCCGCAGATATTTGATGTCATCGTCGGGAGCAATCTGTTTGGAGATATTCTCTCAGATTTGGGTCCCGCCTGCACAGGGACAATAGGCATAGCCCCGTCAGGAAACATCAATCCGACAGGTGAATTTCCAAGCCTGTTCGAGCCTGTGCATGGCAGTGCACCTGACATTGCGGGCAAGGGCATCGCCAACCCTGTGGGAATGATCTGGGCGGGTCAGATGATGCTGGAACATTTTGGCTTCAAGGACGCTGCGGCAGCGATGCTAAAGGCGGTCGAGAACGTGCTTTCGCGAGCCGAAGAGAACATCATTACGGCGGATATGGGAGGGAAAGGAACCACAAACAGTTTTGGAGAGGCGATTGAAAAGGAGATTTTGGCTCTGGCATGAAAGGACGAGCCGGAAGGAGATAGACTTCTTAAAGTGGCAAGAGTTTTAGCTTATCGATAAGGATAGAAAAAAATAAATTATTGTCCCGAAGAAATACCGACGACTTCTTCCTGCGCTGCGCTGCATGTTCCCTTCTGCTACTCTCTTGTCGCTGTCTGCATTTCTACTGACACTTCATGGCCCCGGACAGGGGACAAGTCCCATCTAAGGGGAAACTCTCTAGAACGTGGGATACCCTCAACCCCCCACTATCACCATGGATCCTCGATGCAGTGTCCGCCATGAATTTCACCCGCATGACACCGGTGCAAGCCTCGACCATTCCCCTCTTCATGGCCTACAAGGACGTCGTGGTTGAAGCTGTCACGGGGAGTGGAAAAACGTTGGCATATCTCATACCTGTGGTGGAGAAGTTGTTGAGACTGGAAGAGCCGCTGAAGAGACACCATGTCGGTGCCATCATTGTTTCTCCCACGAGAGAATTGGCCACACAGATATACAATGTCCTGGTGTCGTTACTGAGATTCCATCCGCCTTCCGCTGCGGCGCTCGAGACGTCGGATGCGCAAGACGAATCTGACGGGAGCAATGACGCAAAGTCTTTTCCCTCGTCCACTCTGAAAATTCTCCCGCAGTTACTTGTGGGCGGTTCGACAACACCGGCGCAGGATCTGAGTAAATTCCTCAAGACCTCGCCGAATGTGCTGGTCGCGACACCTGGTCGCCTGGTCGATATCATGACCTCAAGAGATGTTCACTATCCGAAATCTTCGTTTGAAGTGCTCGTGCTCGACGAGGCCGACCGATTGCTCGACCATGGGTTCAAGGACGAACTGACCAAGATTCTTAAGCTGCTACCAAAGGAGCGGAGGACGGGCCTGTTCAGTGCAAGCGTAAGCGAAGCACTAGATCAATTGATTCGCGTGGGACTGCGAAACCCCGTGAAAATTGAAGTCAAAGTGAAAGGCGCCAATGGAGTGGAAGACAAGCGGACCCCTGCAAGTCTCAAGATGACCTATGCAGTGACTAAAGCTTCTCAAAGATTCCCATTCCTAGCAGCTCTTCTAAGACACCTTGATCCAATGCCGCTGCGGACCATCGTGTATTTGTCCACTTGTGCCGCGGTGGACTACTTCCAGAACTTGCTACCCTCGATCATGCCTTCAGAGGCAGTGCTTGTGCCCTTGCACGGTAAGCATCCAGCAAATGTCAGGGAGAAGAACTTTATCCGTTTCACAGACTCTGCCTCTCCCTCAGTTCTTCTGACAACGGATGTTGCCGCGAGGGGTTTGGATATTCCATCTGTGGACCTGGTGGTACAAATTGACCCTCCATCAGACTCCAAGGTCTTCCTGCATCGATGTGGACGAGCTGGCCGCGCAGGCCGCAAAGGACTCAGTGTCGTCCTTCTCCTCCCTCATGAGCAAGACTATGTGGAATTTCTGAAAGTCCGACACACCCCGATTGAGCCCTTGACCGACCCTAGTCCTTCCGAGGTGCAGGACGACTGCCGTGAGGTTGAGGAGAAGTTTCGAACGACTGTGCTCACGGATCGAGCACTGTACGACAAAGGACAGAGGGCCTTTGTCAGCTGGGTGAGGAGTTACTCGAAGCACGATGCGAAGTCTATTTTCAGTTTGAGTGGCATTGACTGGAACGACCACGCAGCTGCCTGGGGCCTGTTGAAGATGCCGAAGATCGCCGAGCTCAAGAATACCAAGCTACAACCCTACCAGGGCCCTGACGTCGATTGGGACAACTACGGATACAAGGACAAACAGCGGGAGAAGCATCGGAAAGAAATGCTCGCGGAGGGTCCGAGCGGCTTCACTGCGGGTCGCAAGGCCGCCGACTCCAAGAAGCGGAAGCAGGGCACTGTGGCTTGGTCCGAACAGCTCGAGCGCAAGGCAACCAAGGAAGCCAAGCGATCTAGGAGGGAAGCGAGACGACAACACGACCGGCTCACCAAGATGACGGAGGGCGAGAAGGAATACCAGGCCGAGACTGCGCGGATGGTCGAGCAGCTCCGCCGGCAGCACGTCAAGGCCAGTCAGCAGCGAGAAGACGTCTTTGAGGGCTTTGACTGAGGACGGCCAGGGTCACTCGCACCACCATGGGATCTCACACAAAGCCAAGGCGTCCGCAGCCATGGGTGGCATTTATTTTAGCCCGACACGCTAATGCAAGTTTGTACTTGTACAGCCCTCTAAAATCTCAAGAATGGCAATCTCAAGAATGACAATCTCATCATCATGGACAGTATGTACCTATCGCTACCCCCGGATTCGAAGATGGCGAGGCTGTAGAATTTCTCAAGTTGCCGACTGAAATATCCTGAGTCTGATTCAATGTCCGACCCTTTGTCCGTACTATACCATCACACGAGCTCTGCGTTTATCGGCAAGCCCGAGAGACAGGCGCCATTCGCATAAATCAATTTACACCAGTGTCCCAAAGCCTTCACAACACCCTTCGGAGCCCCTTTAGAGGGCATCGTGTATTGCAAATGTACATTGTTGTTTTATGAAGAAGCATTGATCCATTTGAAGTAAAATGTACGCGATACCAGCAACACATCCATCCATCCACATTTGTCCGCCACCAAAACCAACAATCTCTTGGAGGTCAGGAAATGACGCACAAGATCTCTGGCTCTCGCGCCGTCTTACTTTGCTACCTGGTCGACATGCTCCAACTCGACCGTCTCCTTTTCCGCCTCGATATCCTTGTCCAGCGCCTCCCGCTGCTCGGCGGTCAGGTGAGTGAGTCTGACCTCGATCTTGTCGCCGAAGATCTCGCCGACTTCCTCCAGAGCGAGGCCCCTGGTCTCGGGGAAAAAGTACCAGATCAGGGGCAGATTGATGGTCGACAGGACGATGAAGAGGAGGTAGTATTTCCAGCCGACCTGTGCAAAGGCCGTGGGCGCGGGGATGAGGTAGGCGATCGTGCACAGGAACAGGACCGCCAGGGACCATGCCATGCCGCGGGCGCGGAGGTGGGTTGGGAAGATCTCGGTGCAGAAGACGTACGAGGTGGCGTCGAGCGTGGATGCGTAACTTATCCGGAGAGAGCTCGGTCAGCATCAAAAAGCCTATACTTGATAAGAGGGCGGGGTAACTTACCAGGCGATATAGAGGAACAGGAAAACCACGCCTGTCTTCAGCCCAGCCTTGTTGTCGGTGCCGGAATAGCGTGCTGTCATGGCCGCTTCGACGATGAGAGTGATGAGGCTGCCGGCAATTCCAGCGACTGTGAGATGGTTAGCTCTGCTTATTTTCAAACCAGGTTTAGTGGTCCCTTTGGCTAGGGAGAGAAGTGATGCTTCACTACTCACCTAGAAGGATCTTGCGGCCAAAGTGGTCGATGAGCAGCGCATTGACACCGTTCCCGATACACGCTATCGTCACGAAGACGGCGGCGAGGAGCAACGAAATCTTGTTGGACAAGCCGAGCCCCGTGTAAAGGATGACGCTGTAGTTGTAGATGACTAGGATCCCGGTCGACTCGGTCGCAAACATGGTCATGAATGCACAGAACATGCGCTTTCGGTACGACGGCTTCGTGAAGAGAGTGGACAGAGTCTCGGTCCGAGAGATTTGGAGGTCGGCCGACACCTGGTGGCTCATCTGGTAAAACTCCTCACGTGCGAAAGAAATGTGATGCGAGTCCGAGTCCTTGTCGGTGTTGTGTAACAGGTTGATAACCTCCCACGCACTGTCGCGGCGATCTTTCATCAGAACTGGAATTTTGACGGTCAGTCACTGGGAACTTGCAAAGGGGCAGGACTCGAGCTCACGCCAGCGAGGGGACTCTGGGATGAAAGGTATGAGGAGGAACATGATGAGTGGCCAAAGCGCTTGTACGCAGAGTGGGAATCGCCATTGAAAAGCGGCATTCGTCGTATAGGAACAGCCGAACCCGATCCAACCGGCGAGGGCGTATCCCAGGACCAAGATGACACCTTGGTTCCCGTCAGTCTTGTTTCCAACTCAAGAGGGACGCCTGAATTAGGACTCATTGACAAGCGTGTACATACCATGCTGAGAAACGAGAAAGCCTCGCTGGGCGGGAGGTGAAATCTCGCATTGGAACATTGGGATCAAGACCATCAGTATTCCTGTCCACGGTTAGGTCCATAACCGCCATCTCAAAATGCAGCGTGCGACTGAGCACTCACCAACAGAAATACCAGTCAGGGCTCGACCAAGCAACAACATTGCAAGGTGAGCTGCTCCGCCTTGGAACGCGCCTCCTATGACACCAATCGGAGTGGCCAGGTAGAGCGTCTTCTTCCTCCCAAGGGCATCGCACGACCAGCCAGCCAGCAGTGATCCGATGACACCGCCGGCCGAATAGCAGCCGTTGAGACCGCCGATGATCCTGTTTGTGAAAGCATACCGGTCTGAGGTGGGATCGGTCGTCAGGCCAAAGTACGCATAGAACGGAGCCTGGCCCAACGTCGTCGCGGCCACGCTGAAGGAGTAGCCGTAGGTCAAGCTCCCAAAGCAAAGCGCAAGTACAATCTATGATAGTGAGACACTCTTGTGTGCACACAGGACGCAGGGGAATGTAACAACTCACTGTGAGGTTCAAGGCACTGATACGAGCTGCTTCGTGTTTCGCCATCTTTTGGAATCGTCACCTGAGTTGGGTTCCAGTGTTTATTCGCCCCAAGCTGCGTGGCATGACTGTTCAACGCTGGGCCCCATACCCCATGATATAGGTCTGGGACGGCACCGAACTGAGTTTCTCCCTGGACGCCATCGTTGGGAGGCCCAAATTGCAAAATCTATAGAGGTCCTCGTATTCCCAACCCCGTTCTCCACACTCCAGGAGCTCAAGGCTCGCTAGAGTGTAATTCCTTGCCGACTTGGGACCGTCACAGGATTGACTAAACCTCAATCTCGGGCGCGCGAGGCTTTGTCCGACAGGGATGCGAGAGACTGAAACCTACGCGCCGCGATCTCCGCGCCGAACGGGCCGAAATCCCCGTGGGGTAACAAAAAGTGTGGAGTCAGTTACATCATTTGATCGAGTCCCCCTTCCCATGCACGAGGAACCTTTGTCACGCAGTGGTAGGTGATCAGACGAGTGAGTCCCTTTATCTCGCGCGCAGTTGCCCTCCTACCAATCCACTTTCACACAGACAAAGTGTTGTATTCTGCACCCTCAAGTCGACCTGTCTTGTAAAATCAATTCACAACCACAACATGTCCAGCACAGGTCGCCGGCTCGACGGAAAAGTCGCCATCGTCACTGGCGGAGCGAGTGGCTTTGGCAAGGCGATCGCAGGCCTCTTTGCCCAGCAAGGGGCCAAGGTAGTCATTGCCGATCTCTCAGCAGAAGCCGGGCAGGCGGTTGCCAAAGCCACCGGGGGCGTCTTTACGGTCGCCGACGTGACCAAAAGGAGTGACTGGGAGAAGCTGCTCGCACTCGCCCTGGACAAGTTCGGCGGGCTCGACATCGTGGTCAACAACGCGGGAACGTCGTATCGCGCAAAGCCCACCGAGGACGTGACCGACAAGGACTACGACCTGGTCTTCGACGTCAACGTGAGATCGGTCTACCTCTCGGGCAGCGTCATCCTGCCGTACTTTCTCAAAAACGACAGGCCCGGCAACTTCATCAACATCTCGTCAGCCAGCGCTCTGCGCCCGCGGCCGAAACTGGTGTGGTACGCGGCTTCCAAGGGCGCCGTCAGCAACGCGACCAGAGCGCTTGCCATCGAATACGCCCGGAGAAAGATCCGCTTCAACACGGTGAACCCAGGCCCGGCCATTACAGGCTTGTACGTTTTTTTTTTTTTTTTTTACACCTGCACGGAACGCTTTTTTTTTTGGAGATCGGGAACAGATTTTCTGACAGCAGATCTAGGAAAGACGCCTTCTCCGGTGGGGCAAAAGATCCCGACGCCGCAATGGTTCGTATGGTTGAGGATTCGGTGCCCATGGGCCATCCGGCAGAGACGATAGACATTGCAAATGCTTGTCTGTTCCTCGCCAGTGAAGAGTCTGCATTCGTCACAGGCATTGAGCTTCCGGTATGTTCAAATCCAGTTGACTTGTCTTCCCGAGCCGAACCACGCTAACACGCTCTTCTCAAAAAGGTTGATGGTGGCCGTTGTGCATAATAATAGATAGATTGAGTGGCCGAATATAGTATAACCCTAAAAGAAATCAATCCCACTATCTTTAGGAATGTCACCATGTACAGAGTTCTCCCAATCTGGACTCTCTCGATCAATCGAGTTCGCTATTGACCCATCGTTCATAATTTGAAAGCCTTCTTCAAGACCTCCAACACTACCGCGTTGTACTGTTTCCCGGAATCAAGAATCGCTTTGGAAAATTGTCAGTGTCGATCAATCTCAGCAGTAGTCACGGTTAGAAACTCACCATCGAGTTGCATAAACGTGTGCGGTGCGCCCTTGAACCTGATGATTTGAACCTCACACCCGGCCTCCTTCATCCTGGCTGCGTACACCTCTCCCTGGTCTCTGAGAACGTCCATCTCGGCGGTGAGCACCAACGCGGGCGCCAGCCCCTTCAGGTTCGGAGCGTGGATCGGCGACACCTTCCACTCCCTCGCGAGGTGCTGAGGTCGCGGCGAACCCAGAAATTGGCGGTGAAACCACTCCATTCGTTCGAGCGGCAGGGGTTGTGTCTCCGCCAGGTCTGTGTAGGACGGATACGGCTGGTCCTCGCGGAGGGAGCCGTCTGGTGAGAAGACGTCGAGGTCGACGATGGGGACGGTCAGGATCTGCAGGGCCAGAGGAATGCCCTGGTCGCGGCAGACTTGGGCGACGACCGCGCACAGATGTCCGCCGGCGGAGCACCCGCCAACTGCCACGCGGGAGAGGTCGAGGTTGTATCTGTCTTTCTGCGTACTTCGAATCTATAGCGACCCCCCCCCGCGTCAGAGTGAGCTTTGTAAAGAGATGGAAAGGGGAAAACAGATAGACCGACCCAATGCACAGCGGCGATACAGTCGTCCACCGGAACGGGATACCTGTATTCCGGAGAGAGGCGGTAATCGACGTCGAAGACGACGCAATCCAAGTCGCGCACGATCCTCTTGCACAGATCAAAGTCGACAGACAACCCTCCAAAAACCCACCCACCGCCGTGGAAATTGATGTACACGGGCCGCGGTCCTTGTTGTGAGGACCTCCTGTCGGATTCGTAGACGCGAACCGTGATCTCGCCCTGCTCGACGGGACACTTGAGATCGGCGAATCTGACACCCGTCCCTGGGACGAGCTCGCGTCCGTATGAGATGGTGTATTTCTCCGGATGGGCACGGTATTCTGCTATCGGGATCTGATGCGTGGCGAGGCGGCCCGCGCTGTATTTCTGGTAGTATTCGACGAAGACGGGGTCGAGTCTGGGAGTCAAGTGAGGGGGGATACTATTGACGAGGGGCTTTTCGATGATAACGTGGTTAGGGACGTCTTGGTCTTGAGAGGATGACATTGTTGGAAGTCTAGGCTTGTCTCGAGCACGGGTAGATGGTCTCCTTTCACTTGCAACGAAGACGTGGTGTTTGGAAGATATTTTGCCGGCCTGAAATGTTGCTTGGTCCGTTCAGTTATATACTTCTGTAGAGGGAGAGGGCGATAGCACCGGAGCGTAACAGCGACCTGGGTGGGTGCCGACAATTGCCGATATGACTAGATTTGCCTGTCCGACGCAGCGATAGTGGAGCAATATTACGGGTCGCAAGGGATGTAGATATGCTTCTCTTACGACTGAAACGTTCGATTTGCTTGCTTAGGGCGGTTGAACAAGGCATAGTCTACCAGAGAATATTACTCCCTGACGGCACTTGGACCAGTGCTGTACGACTATAAAATGCTAGATGTATTTATGTATCCTCGAGACGCGGACACCTACTCATGCCTTGTATAGACATAGTCAGGGTTATTTTCACTGTGTACTCTCAACTCGAAAGAGAAGGACAACTGTACCTAGAGGCTATAGCACGCAGAGTCGGGTACGATCCTCCCAGTCTCTCACTCCGTTCAAATCATGCAACTACTTGGCTGGCGTCAAGGAATCCAAAAACGACCAGCGACTCTGCTCGGCCCACCCTTTGGCCTTCCAGTCATTTGCTCTCAGGGGGAAAAAGTCAATCACACCCAGCAAACTCTCGTCGTGAGCGAACACGGTGAAGATGTTCTCATGGCCGTCAAATACGAAGGCCTCGTTGACCGTCTTCTGCGCCAGCTTGGAATCCTCGTCAATATGCCCGTCTTCGGGGATCAGACAGAACGGGCTTTCTCTGGCGGCTCCTTGTCGTGGACCTCCGTTCGAAAGTCGATGGAGATCGGAATATACCTTGGTGCTTTTCTCACCTCCTGCGGCGCTCTTTGGCACCTTCTCGGGTAGAGGGAGGTACTTGGTGGGTCTCAGAAGCGAGCTGTGGTGAATGAGATCACCACCGAGGAAGATGAAGGTATCGTCGCCATGTCCAACCGTGGTCCGAGCGAGGCCGCTGATGTGGCTGCCAGTGTGGCCCGGCGTGCTCAGCAGATAAAAGCTGCCGTCTCCGAACCAGTCATAGGCAGAATACGGGCCAATCTGGAGAACCTTGCTTCCTTGTTGGAAGTCTAGTTCTACGATCTCCTTGCCTACATAGATGTCTGAAGTCGTTTCACTGGCCTCTGCGTCGGTCGGCCAACCTGGAAAATACTTATTCTTGTAGCCAGGACCGACCACAATCTTGGTGGAGGCAGGAAAGAGAGTCGGATCTCCTGTATGGTCCCAGTGATGGTGACTGTATATGATCGCGTTGATCTGAGAGGGCTGAATGCCGCCGTCGGTGATGATGTTTCCCACGTCCCGCTTAACATCGACTTCCAGATTGAGCGGCGCGAGGCCTTTGAGGAGGTGAGGACTCAGGTGCGACGCCCAGTTCGTTCGCAATCCGAGATCATAGAGCAAGCGTTGCCCAGTGGGTTTGTGGTGTATGAGGATGCTGAAATCTGGTATCGCTATGGCTTTCAACCCGGGATATATAGGATTGAAAAAGATCTTGCCCGGGACATTTCGTATATATGTCGTCGTATCAATCACAGATACCTCTACCGCAACCGTTGACTTGGGCAAGTTCAGCTTCCCGGCGGTCGAAGCCATTGCTTATTTCTCAGTCTTGTTCTGAGCAAGAGGTTTGAGCTTGATGACTTTGATGAGGAGGGTCTGGTCTCAATAACCGCACTGCGTTTTCACCACATTGGTGAGGAGATTCCAATACATACCGTGCCCGCACGTCCGCTTGGATGCTGCCCCCAGCCGAGGATGGAGCACGACGACTTGCATCCTGGACTGTAGATCACCCCAGAATGTCAATACCCCGCGGGAATCTCTATTCACATGGGTTGCAGCAAAGTTCGCCGCGTAGGGCCTGTGGGACTGACCCCCCTGGTCGCCACGCCGCGGCGCGCCGCGGACTCCGCGGAAAATCAACCAATTAAGCTGCAAGGGCGATCAAGTGGATCTGTCTCAAGGGGGACGACCGAACCTCTTGAGCAGCATCCCCCATACCCCCATACTCGCTCTCCTCGCGGCGTTCCAAAGTCCCGCGGGTGCAAGTGTCTATGCCCGGTACGCACCGGTAGGTCTGGGTTCTTGGCCATGTCACTTCTCTACGGGGCAGCAGCTGGTGCACATTATAGAGCATGGATAGGACGCTCATTTCCAGCGTTCGAATCACACACAAGGAATATCCGAGATTTGACATTGTCCAATGGCTTCCAACGACATCAACGGTGGTCCGCCAGTGACTTCCGCAAAGATCAATGGCGTTGTGCCGGTAGCTTCAGACGCCCCAGCCTCCCGCCGTGGTAAGCCTCTCCCGAGCTCGTGGGTTCCTCTGTACGCAGAGCCACTCCGGACAGCTACGCGGAAAGTGAGAATGGTGGTGGTGGGAGCCGGCTTTGCAGGTCTATCTCTCGCACACAAGATCTACCATGAATACAAGCTCGATTCGATCATCGAGCTCGTAATCTACGAAGCAAATCATGATCTTGGTGGCACCTGGTTGGTGAATCGGTATCCCGGAGTGGCCAGGTCAGTTGCAAATTCCCTCGGCTTCAACGACATAAAACACTGACGACGGTCCACACAGTGACATTCCTGCCCACATCTATACGTGTATGTCCAGATACCCGTCAGCACAAGCATCCTGCAGACCATTGACCGATTCTCACAGTCCCCTTTGAGCCGAATCCCGAGTGGAGTGCATATTATGCGACTGGGCCAGAAATCTGGGATTATATGAAGAGGACGGCCAAGAAATATGACCTGGAGAAGGACGTCCATTACAACCACAGACTGACTGACGCACATTTCGATGAGCAGCTAGGTCAGTGGAACATAAAAGTCCAGAATGGGGACACGGTGATTGAAGACAAGTGTGACATCCTGGTGTCCGCCAGTGGCCACCTGAGTCGCTGGCGTTGGCCTTCCATCCCGGGGCTGTCTTCGTTCAAGGGGTTTCTCGTCCACTCTGCCCAATGGGACCACGACTTCAACTATGCTGGAAAGCGCGTGGCCGTCATCGGGAACGGCAGTTCTGCAATCCAAATCCTCCCTCAGGTTGCCAAAGTGGCCAGCCACGTCACCAACTTCATCCGGGGCCCGACCTGGATCATCCCGGGTCTGGGAAACAAGATGATCGGGGGAAAGGAAAACCACGTCTACACCGAAGAAGAGAAGGAAAACTTCCGCAACAACCCCGAGGCTTTGAAGGCCTATCGAAAACAGATTCAGCACGGCTCTAACCAACTCTTCTCTGTGGTAAGAGCCCCTTTGCCTTCGTGTTTTTCTTCGCACCCGGGGGCGCGTCCACGATAACTGACCAAAGGGTGAAATAAACAGTTTATCAAAAATTCGGCAGCCCAGGAGAGACTATTTGATGCCGCGAAGAAGCTGATGACGGAACGCCTCGGTGGCAATGAGGAGCTCGCGGAAAAGTTGATCCCGAAATGGGAGGTCGGATGTCGACGGCCGACTCCAGGGCCCGGCTACTTGGAGTCCTTCACCAAGGATCACGTATCGCTGGTGATTTCAGACATTAGCGAGATCACCGAGACAGGCATCAAAACAGCGGATGGAAATCTTCACGAGTTCGACGTCATCGTCTGCGCCACGGGATTCGATGTCAGTCACCGGCCGCCCTACCCGCTGGTCGGGCTTCACGGCACCAATCTTGCCGACAAGTGGAAGGACGAGCCCGAAGCGTACCTGAGCGTGTGCGTCGAGGGCTTCCCGAACTTCTTCATGTTCAGTGGTCCCAACGCCCCCGTCGGACACGGGTCCCTCATCAGCGCCCTGGGCTGGACCGCCGACTACATCCTGAAATGGGCGCAGAAAATCGCCGAAGAGGACATCAAGTACGTCGACGTCCGAGAGGACGTCTCCGAGGAGTTCAACACGTACGCCGACGAGATCCTGCAGACCACGGTCTGGACGGGCGGGTGCAGGAGCTGGTTCAAGAACCACACCGTCGACGGCAAGGTCGTCGCCGTGTGGGCGGGCAGCGGTCTCGCCTACTACGAAATGCTCGAGAGCCTGCGGCCGGAAGACTTCAACATCCACTACAGAAGTCGCAATCGGTTCCGCTTCATGGGCAACGGGACGACCAAGAGAGAGGGCAGGCCGGATGAAGATCTCGCCTGGTACTTGAAGAAGTGAAGGTCGGGCTCTCTCGACGCTTGGATGCCGTGGCATTTTGGCCGCGGAGGAAGAGAGAGAGAGACACACACACATGTGAACATAGGCTTAAATAGAGGTTTGGAATACTAGAGTCGCATCCTACCCATACCGAAGTAGTCGGAGCGCGTTCATGGCTGTATATAGGCTTCCACCATGACAACCTCGCCTGCTTTTTCTACTTGGTAGATTGACTTGTAGTCGCGTGCTAGCCGCCTTTGGGTATGATCTCCACTTAAAGCGGGAACTCTTACATCCAATGAGTATCGATACCGTATAAGCGAGCTGCACCTGAACCCCTACCAGCTGTGGGCTACCGGAGTACCTCAAGGCCACAAGGGTCCCGTGTCCCGAACAATGATGAGGAAACTGTGGGTCTGAATCACGATCAAGCAGGCTAAGAATAAAGACCGGGTCTGCCTAGTGTAGGCATTGATAGGTCGCTGTACTTGGTAGGTGCCGAGGCTCACTCACTCACTCACTGCGATAAGTCCTGTCCCTGCGGGGCGCACGAACTGGGAAAATTGGGGGGGCAGAGAGCTAGCTGGCTGGGACCCCAGAGCCCAAAACCCTGCCTGCTTTTGTTGTGGTCGGCTATAAATCTCAAAGAACCCCTGCCGTTATCGCAAAGAGACACGAAATCCTTTCATTTGGCTTCGCTGGCAGTAAACGTCTTCGAGTTCCTGCCCCGGTCGCTGCATAAACCGGCCAAATTATACGTGGATTTCTAGATCGTGTTTTCGGAGCAGAACCCCTAACTTCTCTGCTCTGACAACATGGCTTCGATGATGAATAGTGCGGCGCCGTTTGAGGAGTGGCCACAATCCGAGCAATCGCTGGCCCCGCGAAAGCTTTATCCGGGAGCGATGAGGCGTCGTCGAGCAGATCAGCGAGCCTGCGATAGTTGTCGATACAGGAAGATCAAGGTCAGCATTCCCAGGCCTAATCTCTCACTTGTGGGACGCGGCGACCGGGATCTTTCGTATCATGTTAACATCCGCGATAGTGCGATGTCCGGGATAGACGTCCTTGCTCAGGCTGTATCTCGGCTTCGATCATCTGCGAGACCAGCGGCAATGCACCTGCTGCAGGGGGCGCGGACCAGAAGAGGTATGGGATAACACCCTCGTCCCGCTGTTGAGTGAACAACAACCATGTCGCTAACGTGGTCGGACTTGTGCAGACTACAACAATTAGAAGACCAGATTGTGAGACTGACCGAAAAGCTCGCAGCCACCGAAGACCGGGTCAAGTCTCTCTCGGAAGGTCAAGAGAGAACGCAGGCCTGTCTCTCTCGATTTGTCGACTGCTCCGACGACTGCAGGGCCTCCCAAGGCAGCGCCAGTTTCTCTGGTGTGGGTTACGCAAACAACCTGGCTGGAGGACTGAATCCCAGGCGAAACGATGAACTGGCGCCTTCGAGACATTTCAGTCTTGCTCCACCCTCGAGCCTGAGCACCAGTCCTCCGACACAACTGCATCATTCCGATGGAGAACTCCACAACTCTCAGTTCTTCGGTCCCACCTCTGGAGTTGTATTCGCTTCGGCGATCAAAGACTTCATTCAGCGCCAGGGAGGTCCAGGCCACGTTTCGTCCTCTTCGATTTTTCAGACTTCGCTACACTCGTCGGACACCAGGGTGCCGTCGTCAGATGGGGAGATGTCGAAAGCGGCACCTCTCTTGACGTTGCTTCCCCGGCGGCAACAGGCTCTGCAGCTTCTCGACATTTATCGAGTCCACGTCCAGGAATACACACCCGTGCTGCCTTGGCCCAGCGTCCTCGACAAGTTTGCACGGCTGTACGACAGGCCCGTGCGGTCCGGTTGCAAATCCGACTTCATCAAAGACTTTGTCCTCCTCAACGCCGTCTGGAGCATCGGGTCACAGTTGACAGAGGAGAGCGAGGCCGTGCAGGAGAGCGACAAGAACGAGGTGAGGAGTGGCTGGAGATTCTTCTCGCTCGCCCGCGACCATTACGACCTCGCGGCGCCCAAGTACGATCTCGACGACGCGGCCATTTGTCTGCTGATGAGCATCTACCTCCAGGGAGCGTCCCTTCTCAACACCTGCTGGGTCTATGTCGGGCTCACCGCGCGCATCATACAGGACCTAGGGCTGCACATTCGCCCCACGAATCAGCTTGTGACCCCCGCCCAGGTGGAGGTGAGGAATCGGTTGTTCTGGGGCACGTATCTGGTCGATCGGAAGATTGCCCTGACTCTGGGTCGAACGGTCGCTCTCCTCGACGAAGAATGTTCCGTCGATCTCCCGCGAGATGTCGACCCGGCTACATTCGGGGGCTCCGACTCGACCGAGATCCTCCGGGTCAGTGTCCAGACGTGTTCCAAGCTGCGCGACATCATCAACTTCACCCCGTCACCCAACCACCAAGAACGAGACATGACGTTTCTCTTCGAGATGGACAGCGCGCTGAGTCAATACTGGGAGGATTACCCATTGCGAATGAAGGACTTTTCCCAGCCTGACGCCTACGACCCGTCGTGTCTCAAGGTCCTGTGCATCCTGATGCAAGCCCGACTGACCACGATGAGACACTTCACCGACACGTCGCTCAACAAAGACTTTCGGAAGTGGTGTTTCACGCGATCCGTCCAGATCTCGTTGGTGACGCTGCAGACGGTCAACACGCTGTCCCGCACCGACGACTGGGAGCGGAAGACGGCCTTGTTCTGCAGCGGCGTCGTCTACGGCCACATCTTCCGTGCCGCCCTGGTCCTCGCCCTGGCCGGCAGCAAGTTCGCCGAGGACCTGGACACTCCGGCCGAGAGGCACCGCTTTTCGACCCTGTGGGAGTTTCTGCGCGCGGCCTCGTCGCGGCGCACCTCCGTCCTCAAATACCTGCAGCTCTTGGAGGTGCTGGCAAAAGCCCTGGGCACGCCGCTGGGTGAAGACGGCCTGAGTCGGACGACGCCGGCGCCCGCTTCCCAGGTCAATAGTGATCAGCAATCACTGCTGGGAGGTCCTCGAGTTGGCGGCCCCGTGGGGATGCCACCAACTATGCACGATCTCACCAACAGCAACAGTCGTCTACAGAGCCGGACAGAGTACCCGGGCCAGGAAACTGGAATGCCCATGGGCCGATCAACCAGGACGCTATTCCCCCCGAATGATCTGCGGATGGGATACAACCCGCCACCAGAGATGCCAGAAGCCCCCAGCTCGGCAGAGGATTCCGGCTTGGGCACCAACAGTGCGCCCCAGACGGTCGACTTTGACTGGGAGCTCTTCGACCAGATCATGGACTGTGACTCGTCGGCATTCCCAACGTTTCCACTCGGTCTGGACATGGACGGATTCGACATGTGAGCTCGGGGGATGTCAAAGCGGGTTAGTTTGAGGTGTGGAATGAGTAGAATTGCTAAATGGTGAGGGCGATAGAGGCTCCTCTCTTCCATCGTCTATGGTGTGGTATGGTAATGTGGACACGAAGTTCCAATGTACTCTAGTACGCCGTGAACGACAAGTCGAGAGCGTCGGGCCGGTCGTCCGAGTTCATATTGCTGCTGAAATCGACTCCCCTTTGCGAACTCCTAATAAAGACTCGTCTCTCACATGAGATACTTAATTGCTCGAATCATGAATACAAAGTAACCAAAATATCACGGGCATGAAAGATCCGTTGTATTTTTCAGGTCTGTCTCCATGGAGCGAGTGGCAGGACACGCACGATGTGCACAGACCCACGACCACTCTGAAAATGTATTCTAGCGAAGGCGCAAAAAGACGATGGCTGCCTTACGGACGGTTAGAAAGATCAAGGGAATGCACCTAATTTGGTTTACAGCAAATGCGTATTCAACACGATCTATTGCCCCAATAGAAGAGTCGGCTTGCGTGTAACCCCCCAGTGCATTGTTTATGGGTTTCAGAACCTTCAAGGTATCTGCCAGGGTAGATGATGAGCAAGCGTGCTTGGTCACTAAGACCAGGGCAAGCAAGGCAGCGAATTTTCCAATAGGAGCTTTTGTGTTGGTGGGGGTGACTGACTGACTGACTGACTGACTGACTAGGCCGATTCAGGTTCTTTAGATAGTGCTTTAGACGGTGGTTTAGACAGTGCTTTCTCGATATCGAACAGGCATGTCAGCGAATTGAGGTTGTACCACTAATTTGATTTCGGTCGCCTTTCACTGTCACTCGTGCACATCAATATCAACATCAAGTCATACTGGTAATCACTGCGTAGCAGAAAAATCTCGCTCAGATAAGACAGATAGGTTTCAGGGGAATCAACTGCCACCTGCGTCGCCTGTGCCGCCTCCACCACTACCACTACCACCACCGACATTCCCGTTGCCACCACCATAGTTGTTCCCGAAGAAGAAGCCGTCAAACAGATCATACTGGCCTTGCCCATCGCTCCAGTCATGTTGGAAATCCAATCCAGTCATGCCGAAGCCCAGATCCAACCCACCGCCCACGTCCAGGTTGAGGTCTCCGTCGCCGCCTCCTGTGATGGCGTCGCTCAGAAAGTCCATACCCGGCAAGCCGGACATAAAGTCGGGGTTGTACGTATTTTGCATGTAGAATGGCTGTTGGTCCTGCTGTTGCCGGTGCCGCGTTTGCGTCGGCTGTGGGGTGGCAGATTGGCTGTTGAATAGTAACGGGTTGTTGGAAGTACCCATGCCGAAACCGTTGTTGATCTGTGAATTGATGCTGGACGCCGGGGACATTTGCTGCTGCCGAGGAGAATGTTGTGATTGCTGTTGCAACGGCGGCGGCAATCCCATTGCCATGGACGTCTGCGGCGATCTTTGCTGTTGTTGGAGGTTTTGGAGGGGTTGAGGAAAGGAGAAAGATGGTCTGGTACTAGGTTCGAGGTCGTCGGGGAAGAGCTCGCGGAGATCCATGTCGAATTTGGGCGGCGGTCGTCTAGGCATTGGTTTCGGAGCGATGCGCGGGACAGTCGAGGCGGCCGATGAAGGGTAAGAGTCGATTTGCATTGGCATTGGTTGGGTCTGAGATTGTGCTGCCTGACTCTGCATGCTGGATTGACGGGCGAGGGGTTGTCGTGGTTGGTAGTCTCCACGGGGCTCCAGCGAGAAGCCAAACCCAGGTGTAGACATGCACATTTGGACAGTGGCCTTGCTCATTCGCTCAAAAGCGTCGCGGCAGGCTTCTGCTGGTGGGCATTTCTCCATGAGATCGCCGAGGACAGACGTCGCAGCGAGGACTGTAAAGTCGAAATCATCGAGAGTCTAAGGAGTCATTTAGCGGAGCGACGTGAGCAGAGGAGTGGAGGGTTTCTTACCAACCGCGCTCTGACAGCCGGAGAATGCCAAACAGCGTACAAGAAGGAGATGCCGGCCATGAATAGGTGATGCGTGGCAAGATACGTGTAATTGACAAGGCGCTGTCGGTGAAGCTGTCTGTAAAGTTTCAACGTCTTCTGGCCAGCTTCGGCACATTTCAAAAACACCAGATCTTCGTCCTCCTTCTCTTCTAGCCTCAGACTTGACGGGCTGGACACATCCTCGGTCGGGCTAAACTCGTTCGCTAGAGGTGCCGGGACACTGAGACTCTGCCGGTAGAGCATAATGACGGCTTGCCAGTAATTGAGCTCCAAGAACTGTACTGAGAAACTGACTCCAGTGTCGGAGGGTTCCGGCGCCGATTCTTTCCATTCATATAGTCGCTGATCGATATCTCGTCGCCACGAACGGAATGAGTCGAACTTGATTAGGAAAGGTGATGGGAGCTTGGTGTGCATGAACTGATTGCGGCGATTGGTGCCGGTCAGACGAGCTTGTTGGGCTTGCTGATGTTGGAGCACTTGCAGAATCTCGGATTGTAGAAGCCTCAAGCGGAAATAGTGGTGCGAGACCCATTTGTAAGTGGGTTCATCTGGCAAGGCTGGCTGCAAAAATCCAGCTCTTGTGATGTACTTGTCGTCGAGCAGGGAGGGGAACTCGGTGGTTACGACTTGATCTGTAATCCCAAACGGTCTTCCCACACAAGTACTGACCAGGCGGTCAAAGGTATAAGTGCACCACCAAAGTCGCCTGCGAAGATCACGAATCCATTCTCGTCGTCCTTTTTCCTTCGCGTCGACTGGTCCCAGTGGTTTTGAATCCATCGAGGGCCGCGGACCCTGGTAGTCGTCGATGTTGTCTGCGATACCGGTACCGTCTTCGTAGTGTAGGCCGAGATCGACGGCCAGCCTCATTGCAACGCCTACAATATACCAGAGACCTGGAGCGACAGGTCGAAGCAAGGCAAAGCTGCATAGCAACAACACAGCCTGGAGCTCCTCCAAATCACCATTGGGACGCTCAGCCGCTTCCAGGGATGAACTCGCAGCCAAAAATGACCCAAGATTGACAATGGCGGAAGCGTGGTATTCCTCGGGTTGAGCTTGTTGCATGGCCAGTCTGACCCGTTTGTGAGCATAGTCCCCTTGTTGGGAGTTCGGCTGGGGGTCAGAAGAGCCCCAGATAATGCCCGCGCCAATTGCAAACACGATGTTGAGCAAGTATAGTTCGCGACTGCTGCGTTTCGAAGGATCAATCGAATATGTACGATCAAACAAATCCATGAATTCACCTCGATGGAGGATTGGGATCTGGGGATTGGCGTGCTCAAAATACAGATGGACCAGCTTCTCGCCTAAAGGACGATCTGGAAATGGAGCTTCCTTAATGGTGGGCTTGGTTTGGAGGCCGAAGTAAGAGTCTCGCATGGAGCTACCTCCCGACGCGGCCATATTGGGCAACGGACGACTCGGTCGGACACCAGCTCGCTCAGAATTGTTGCAAGACACCGAGCTCTTTACAGCAGCCAGTACGACGCGAGCAAACGATATCCCAGATGTAGACCCAAGATATCGTGCGTCGGAAGCGCCTTGCACAGAAACCATGCCGATGTTGGACACGAGCTTGTTGAGCTTATCGGCATCCTCTTGCTTCTTGTCCCAGTCTTCGTTTTTGATGGGTCGCGGCGAGCCATTACTAGGGGATTGTGGTCCTATCCAAGAACTCTTTGCGCTCGCAGGCGACTGGACGGGATCACCCAGCTCCTTGGACTCGGCATTGTAGACCTCGCCAGCATTGTAAGGGATCCCATGCGTCTTGAGCTGCTGCTCGAAATATGCCAGCCGCGTCTCGAGATAGTAGACATAACTTCGGGGAATCTCCCTCTTGGTAATGGGGTCGTAGCCTACGCAGCGAACATTGGCCTTTTCGCACGTGGAACACGCAGGGAGACGTTGGTCGCAACGGTTCTTCCTGATCCGACAGCGATTGCAGGCCGAGACATTCCTGAAGGCCGAAGTGGCCGACGCAGCGGAGAGGGGAGGAGGGGAATTCGTTGAAGCGGCCGCCGCACCATCCTGTGGTGGTTGGTGGAGGGGTTCGTCAGCGGGAAACGCTCGCTTGTGACCGGCGCTCTGAGGAGAGGAGGCGGAAGAGGGCATGTCATGTATCGGAGAGGGACACTGACATCTTCTGCCAGTAGTTCTCAAAAAAGCGCACTATCCCTCAGTGCTACGGAGACAGCATGCGAAGTAGACTCGAGCAGCACAGGTCAGCCTTGCGCGTCGTGTGAATGGCCATGGCGGAGTCTGCTTTTGGGCCTGGGGAGTAGAAACAAGTTCTCGCATATCGCAGAGGATCTCAGTGGCTGGTTGGAGAAAAGGCCTGGCGAACTGCAAGCACAGCGGGCAAATGACGACCAAGGCTTGCTTATCTCGAGATTATATCTCAGCAAATCACGTCTCTACATTGTCCGCGGCGGGGCAGATAAAACTGCCGCGGTTACATTCGCGAATCGCTAATCTGGATTTGGGATCCTTTGACAAGCACGCCAGGCACCGAGTACGAGGTGCACAGAAACTATCTACTTAGACACCATTGCCATCACGACGATGACGGAATGATTCTATGAGTACTTTATGCATCGACCAAGCCATTCCCTCTGGCCCAGCGTCCGTCAGATGCCCTGTAAAAGAGAAGAGTGATTGACAACCGTCGATGAAAGGGTTCGGTGGGCAATGAAACGATCACTAGGGAAGAGATCTTACAAGGCTGGTTCGACGGAATGTGCCCTCGCCAACATTTCACGGGACACAGGTTGCTAGTCAACGATACAATCTCACCATCGTCTCCGCGCTTCTGACCAAACAAGGGTTTGCCCTAAGAAGACCAAGATAAAACACAGGCATTTCCGAAACTTGAGCGACGATCTCTGGGGTTCAACAAGCATACGATGGACCCGCAGCAAGGAAGACCATACTGCGCTGGTGTTTTTTACTTTCCCTCTTGAAGTAGACTCCTATGACAAGAGGGCGATGGACGCCTATGGGAAGACTG